TCACTCCACACATTGGCCAGGCTCAAGTCAGAAGCCTGGAATTTCGTTCTGGTCTCCCACACCCAGCTTAGGTCATCTCCTGCTGCTTTTCCTGGTACTTTAGCAGGGAGCTGGATCCAGAGTGGAGCAAAAACAACATGAACTGGCACCCACAGGGATACCAGCATTGCAGGTTGGCTGCGCAGCCCCACAAAATTGGTCCTAAAAATCCATTGTTTTGTTTTGTTTTTAATTAAAAAGCAATTCACATTCTTTTTGTTGTTTTTGGGAAGACTGCAAAAGTACCTTCTACTCTCTTTGATCCAGCTTCCTGAGGGACAGGCGCTACAGCCAGTGGTACCCGCAACATCCTTGCCCTTCCCATAAACACAACAAACACACATTTTCACAGCCTTATATACCAAATGTGTCTTGCACATAGCTTTACACTATGGACTTGAATGGTAACTGCTAAAGCCACCTGAGACACAGACAGGCCACTGATTCCCAGGGGATGTGGCCTTTCAGGGTCTCAGCCCCTTGCCTGCCAGGAGGGGCTTCCATCCTGGGGCAGCCCACCTGCCTTTCCCTGCCATCTGAGCACGTTCAGTGGAGGATGCCAGGCATCACCTCTGTCCACTGTCCACCAGATATTAACAGGGGGTCTTTTTTTTTTTTTCGTTGTGATTGACAGCATATTTTCAAAGATGTAACATTTTAATCAGAATAGAAAGAACACACATAGTTCCAGTTTCAAAAACTGCCTCTCCCCCTTTCCCAGCACTGCAACTTCTTCCCTCACAACCGTATGAATGTGGTACCTTCAAGAAAAACCTAAAACCTGCACCGGAGCTGGAGCTGCTGAGCCTCCTCAGCATGACTGGCTGACTCGGTTTCTCAGTAAGCTGCAGTTACAAGGTTACCTGTAGCACACAGAACCAGGACTTTCACTGAGGTCAACAATTTGCATTTTTTGCTTGTTTACATATTTAGTTAGTACATACATTCTCAAAATGGCCCATATTTTGAACATTTTTTTAAAAAAATAAAACCAAACATCTCTCATAATTATTGATTATTTAAGAATTGAAAATATGGTCTAGGCAAATTATGAAATGATAACCTCCTTAACAGGCCTCAACCATTACAACATGTCGGGTTATTCTATCTGAATATTTTCACTGGGCTCCTGATGAAAGAAAAATAATTGAGTGAGTCTTTTTACTTTTATTAACAGGCAAGCCTTTCCAGCTGCTTTCTCTTCAAACATGTTAAAGTTTTTGGCTAAATTAAAAAAAAACACTCATTCCAATTTCTCAAGTCACCCAGAATGCACATAGTCAAAAGTGATGTTTCCTTCCTGGCCGCCCCCCAACTCATTTCCCAGTCTCTTATCCATAGCCCAAAATGTTTCTTAATATTTCACCACTCAGCTTTATGCTGCCATAAGTAAAGCACGTGACAGGCGCTAGGGTTTATTTCTGCTCACCGTTGTGAAGGGTCTCGCTGGTCTGGTGTCTGAAGAAGGCAGTAGGTGCTAGACAGGTAGAGACTCACATGGGGAGTGGAGAGAGGAGGCACAGCTGTCCCCTCACTACACAGCCTTTCCTTACGATGTAACCAGGATCCCACCACAGGGGCCCCACTCCAACAAGCTCATTAACTTCCTGCCTTAGCTCGGCAGAGGGTGGGTCCCGGGACAGGGCGTCTCATGCCCGGATTCCATACGCCCGCCATCATGGGCACATGGTGAACCGGGCTTGGGCGGCCAGGGCACCATTTGGTACCAGGCTTTGCCTGCTGGCCGCCCGACAGGGGAGCTCTGGGATTTTGGTGGTTTGAATTGCTGGTTATGTGGCTCCACGTTGAACCCGATGTGTTTCTGCGAGTTGAATACATCCTAAAGTTTCTCAATGACAGCTCCTCTTCCTTTAAAGAAGGTGTTACCACTTAGCAATGCTGACCACCAAATACCAGTTCATGCTAAAGCTTTGGCATGGGTCTTGTCCAGTAGACACACTAACTGGATTAAGGCTACCGCCAAGGAGCACGTGGGCTGGAATGGGGGCTGCGTTCTGAGCAGGTAACAGTGAAATCCCCCTTGGCACAAGTGTGGACTGGGACTGGACGCACCAGGCTGGACCAGACCCCAGCACTGTCTGGTGCTCCTGGAGGACCAGGATAGAAGTGGGACGGATTATGCTAGGTTGCAACCCCTACTGAACCATGTGTGAGCCATATGTGGGAATGGACTGGACAAGCCATGGCTGGGCTGAAATATCCAACAACAAGAACCAGCTTGGGTCGAAAGCTAGTCAGGAACTGGGCTAGGGCTGGCTCATGGACCCACTGGCATGCGCAAAATCCGGCACTGGGAGAGGTTCTGATGGAGGAGCCTGGGCAACTCCTCTGGCAGAACACAGACCCCACGGGTAAGCACAAGAAGCATGAATGGAAACAGCCCAGAGCAGGCCACAGAAGTTTTCCACTGGCATACATTAGGCATGGATTGGGGGCAGACCAGGCTAATCGGTTAACATCATCACTAGCAAATCCGAGCACCAGATCAGAGTAAGGGTCGAGCCAGGTTTGGTTGTGATAAAAACCAGTCCACACTACAGAATGCCAGGAGGAGGTTGACTGTGCAGGATGTGACTGCAGTTCCCATCCAGCACACGTGAGAAACAGGAGGGGAGTGGGCAGAGCCAGCGGGGGAGTAAGGGGAGGTTCCCCTGCTGGACAGCTACTCCCACAGGAGAGCATGAACTGGGATGGGAGCAGACCAGACTAAGCAGGGCTACAACACCTGTGCGCCTCATGTGGACTAGACCAGGGAAAAGCCAGGATGGGTTGATTGTTCCTATGGGTGCAACCTACAATTAGAATGGGAGAGGGCTGTTTGGGCATAGCCATAGCATCAGCTGGCAGAAACTGGCACTGGGGGGCTAATCCTGTCAAGTTAAACTGCAGAACCACCTGGAAAGTGCATAATCCGGGAGTGAGAGACCTGGGAGGGAAATAGTGGGTTCCCCCCTCTTGGGTTACCACTGCCACGGGAAGGCACAAAAACTAGGACAGGGGCTGGGGTGGCTAGACAGAGAGGCACTCAACCACACCCGTGAAGGCTTGACTGTTGAGCTGGGTAGATGGATCCAAGCTTCAATGCCATTTGCCATGTACGAGAATCAGGGGGGATGTGGGTCAAATTGGACTGGTCTGCCACACATACTGGCAAACCAGGGTAGGGGGTTGGCCTGGTGGGGGTTATTGTGGGCCGCTCTCACCAGGCTGCAGCTCCCACTGGTTTAGGTGAAGACCAAGTATGTGCTGTGCAGAACCAGTCTGGACTGCAACACCCATTGGTTCCAGTAGAAGGTGGGGCTGAAAACAGAACCAACCCAGTAATTGCAACTACCAGCTGACCAGGGTGATGGACTGTGCTGGGCCCTGTGCTTGCTGGTGCATACAAGTATCTGGCCTGGGAACACCTCAGACGAAGTTTCTTTGGCGATCTCCCCAATTGAAATGCCAGACTCAGAACCCTAACCATGAAGGGACAGAAGATGGAACAAGTTAATCAACCACCTCAGCTATAGGTTGGCCACAAAATACCGGGCAAATAGAGACGCTATGATGGACAATGTCAATTAATGGATTTTTCAACAACCTCATCGTGTTTGGAGAGGCAAGATTAGCAGCAATTTCAAAACTGGTGACCTATTGAAACCACTTCAACGAGTATCTTGGAGCATGCCCCACATGCGGGACTTGGGGTGGGTGGGAAATCAGGTGGGGCTTCTCCCTCAATATCCCCCTCTACCTCAGATATATGAAGGAAACAATATGGAAATAATAGTCTTACCCACTTTCCTGTAGCCCTTGACCCTTTATGCACTAATTAACCATGTAAAGATTGTTAAAATAAAAAATATTAAAAAAAAAAAACTTCCTGCCTTAGCCCATTAAGCTAAGATTCTGATCTTTGGGGAACACCCAAGCTGGTATCCACACTGGGACAGGATTCCGTACATTAAAAACAACCATGCAGAAGGGGATGGGAGAACATCAGAGCCTATGAAACGATGTTATAAAATGAAATGCAATAAAAAAAAAACAACAACATGCTACTATTACAACTGCGTACTATAAATCTGCACCCAATCCATAACAGTGTTGAGTAAGTTCAAAATAAAAACAGGTTACTATTAAGACTCCTACATATGAATGTTAATTTTCACATATGAAAGTTAAACCTATTGAAAGAATTTTGGAACAAAAAATAAAACTGAGTACTGCGGAAATTTATTCTGATTCTTAAAACATGCCTTTGTTGGGCCCAGCGGCATGGCCTAGCGACTAAAGTCCTCGGGATCCCATATGGGCACCGGTTCTGATCCTGGAAGCTCCACTTTCCATCCAGCTCCCTGCTTGTGGCCTGGGAAAGCAGTTGAGGACGGCCCAAAGTCTTAGGACTCTGCACCAATGTGGGAGACCTGGAAGAAGTTCCAGGCTCCTGGCTTCGGATCGGCATAGCATCAGCTGTTGCGCTCACTTGGGGAGTGAATCATCAGACAGAAGATCTTTTTCTCTATCTCTCCTCCTCTCTGTATATCTGACTTTGTAAAAATAATAAAATAAAATCTTAAAAAAAAAACATGCCTTTGTCAAACAGAATCAACTTTTAGTAAGACTTACTATATATAGTTCTGATAAAATGTGTACATTTAATACAAAACACTTTACTGGCACCCAGTTCTCTTTAAATGCTGTAGCATTATGATTCACATGTAACACTTAGATGTTTTTAAGATTTTATCATATTAGATAATGTAATGATAAATTGTTTTTAAATGTGAGCTATTCAGCAAATAATCACCAAGGCTACAGACCCAACCTCTGATTTCTACCTAATGTGATGAGCTGGGTTCAAATGATGGTTCATCATTGAAGTGATTATAAATTTTAGTTGATTTCTGGAGAAAAGAAATTATGAGTCTGAGTGAGAGACGCAGCACAGCACAGACCCTGGAGTGGAAAGGCTTACCACAGGACTTTAAAAAGGTTATAGAAGGATGGAACACAAAGACACATTTATTTTGGTGCAAAGAAATTTTGAAATCCATGTATATAGTTCTTTTGCAAATACTCAATTTCCAGGAAAATTCTGAAGACCACTGTATGCATAGATTTCAGAAAATCTTTGAATAAAAATAAAATGATTTTATTTTTTTATTATTACAGCAACAGAGAGAGACAGACAGAAGTATCTTCTCTTAGTTGTTTCAGTCCTCAAATGCCAATGCTGGATCCGAGCCAGGCTGAAGCCAGGAAACTGAAACTCCACCCAAAGCTCTCAGGGTGCTTGTCAGCAGGGGCCTGGGTCAGAGTGGAGATAGGACCCAACAGTGTTGTAATACTGCTGAGCCACCACACCCACGGCTGAAATGACCCTTTAATCCCATCTTTCCAGGAACTTGTTCAAGAATCTTTGCGTCTGGGAGACTGAGGTAATTTAATATGTGTGAAGTTTAACTTGCTTATCAAAGTCTGAAAAGATTTGCCTGGAGAAACGGATGAAGCTTTGGATGCATCTCTTCATAGGCAGCAGTTCACAACGAGGTAACCTAACTGCACAGAATCCACTCCCACATCAACACTGAGCTGCAGTCTTACTCACAGCAAGTGTAGGAAACTAAAATCACATTTTTGTTTCAGGAAGTACCCAGCCTTCAGTTCTTGTTTGACGTGATTTTCCTGAGCCTCTCCACAGATGGATGGTAACTATCCTGGCTACCCACAAAGCTCCTGACCGAGAGGTTGGCTTGCAGTCTGTGAGGGTTAACAAGAGCATTCAAAAATCTTTATTTCAGCAAGAAAAAAGCCTTAAACAGTAAACACACATCATCACATAGCTATGCTAAAATATGCCCAGCAGCCACATCAGATAAAATACAAATGTTGGATGATAATATGAACAGATACTTAATAAATGCCTAAGAAGACAGGCTTAAAATGTCAGTTCCTCACACTCAGCATAGAACTTCCAATGCTGATTCATTACATTGCATGGGAGAAATTCTTGGTCACTGATTAACAATATTTCATTTATTTGTAGATAACATGGTATGCTTTGCGTTGACTCTCCAGAAGTTCCTGTTTTAAAAAAAACCAACACATTAAAATGTGCCTTTTAAAATGCAAGATCACATTTACTGTTATTTTTGTTTTAAAATATTTTTCTTGAAAAAGCAAATTCACAGAAAGAAGAAGAGACAGAGAGAAAGATACTCCATCTGCTAGTTGACTTCCCAAGTGGTCACAATGGAATGGCCAAAACTGAGCCGATCCAAAGCCAGGAGCCAGAAGTCAGGAGCCTCCTCTGAGTCTCCCAAGTGGCTGTAGGGCCCCAAGGCTCTGGGCCATCCTCTACTGCCCTTGTAGGCCACAAGCAGGGAGCTGGATGGGAAGTGGAGCAGCTGGGGTGCCCATTTGGGATCCCGGCGCATGCCAGGTAAGGATTTAGCCACTGGGGCATTGCGCTGGGCCCCCAAGATCACATTTATTTAATAGTAGACCTAGAATCTACATCAAAGCACACACAGGAAGATTTGTAACTGAAACTGGTGGTAAGGATGGCCAGTCTGATGACCAGGTCATCTGCCGTGACCGTACCCATGGTCTCAGCTGGTGCCCCTCTGTGGCCCAGTCATTTGTGTAGTGAGGGAAACGGGGGAAAGCTGGCCCCAGATGAGCAGGAAGGTTCCTCGGCAGCAGGAAGAGATGTGGGCAGGCAAAAGAGCTCAGAAAAAAGGTGGCTTCCTGCCTACCCAACATGGCAACTGCAGCCTTGGTCACCCATTCCCTATCACACACCAGGCCCTCACTTCCCTTGTGCTAAGACACAATGATGCCCAAGTGTGTGCTACATACCACATGGAGATGCAAAGAAACAAGGCTGTGGGAACAGATTTCTCTTCATGACACACAGTACTGAGACCACCCCGACCTCCCCCAGTTCCAGTCTCTCCCACAGCAGCTTACTTCCCTGAAGGAGTGGCTTTGGATCAGCCTGACTCTGGCTGCTGCAGCCACTTGGGGAGTGAGCCAGCGTAAGAAAGATCTTTCTATCCGTATCTCATTTTCTCTGTATAGCTCCCTTTCCAATAAAAATAAATCTTAATAAAATAATACTGCATAATTATTTGAAAGACAGATCATTCTAGACAGGTTGAGAGACAAAGAAAGAGAGATTCTTGCAACCCCTGTTTTTTTCCCCTCAGTAGCCACGACAGCAGTATCTGGCCCAGGCAGATGCTAGGAGCTAGGAACTCCATCCTAGGCCCCTCATTTGAACCATCCTCCACTGTCTGACTAACCACATCAGCAGGAAGTCAGCTGGGACTCCAACTGCACTCTGAAATGGGAGGCTGGCCACACAAACAGCAACTCAACATGCTGTGCTACCGTGCTAGCCCTGGGTACTTTATAAACATTTGTTCTTCTGAGCCATGAACAGTGAGTACCTTTTCCCTTGTGTGTGCAATCTTGATTGCTTTACAATTTCCATTATAGAGATCTTTAACTTCTTTGGTTACATTTTTTCCCTAAACATTTGATTTTGGTAGCTACCACGAATGAGATTGCTTTCTCAATTTCTTTTGCAGCAAGATTACTATTTTATGTTGATTCTGTATACTGTAACTTTGCCAGTTCATCGGTGCTAACAGCACTTTTGCTGGAGTGTTTAGCTTTTTCCATGTATCAAATCTTGTCAGCTGGAAACATGATGTTTAAACTTCCTTTCCAATTGTGATGGCTTTGATTTTTCTCCTCCTTAATTGCTCCAAGACTTTCAATAATACATAAAGAGTGGTAAGCATGAACATCTTGTCTCTCTTTGTCTTGTCTCAGAAAGAAGAAATGCTTGCAGCTTTTCTGGGTTTGTGACACATGGGCTCCTTCTATAACTTGTTGACACATTTTATTATGAAGATGAATACCTTTCCTGCATCTGTGGAAATTTTTTTTCTTTATTCTGCTGAAGTGATGTATTCTCCTTACTAACTTGTGAATGTTGAGCCATCCTTGCAGCCTGGAATAAATCTCACATGACTGATTTATTATAGTTTTTTTAAGATTTATTTATTTTTATTGGAAAGGCGGATATACAGAGAGGAGGAGAGACAGAGAGGAAGATCTTCCATCTGATGATTCACTCCCCAAGTAACTGCAATGACTGGGGCTGAGCCAATCCAAAGCCAGGAACTTCTTCCAGGTCTCCCACATGGGTGCAGGGTCCCAAAGCTTTGGGCCGTCCTCGACTACTTTCCCAGACCACAAGCAGGGAGCTGGATGGGAAACAGGGCCGCCAGGATTAGAACTGGTGCCCATATGGGATCCCGGGCATGCAAGCGAGGACTTTAACCACTATGCTATCGTGCCGGGTCCTGATTTATTATAGTTTTAATGTGTTGTTAAAGTTGGTTTACTAATACTTTATTGGGAATGTTTGCATTTATGTTCACCAAGGATATTTGTCTTAAGGTTTTGTGTTGTGTTGTTCCATTCATTTTGGAATCAGAGCAATGCTGGCCTCAGAAACAGTTCGGCAGTTTCATCCTTTTTAATACCTGGAATAGCCTGAGGAATACTGAAGTCAGTGTCTCTCGCCTCACAAAATGAGATGAAGGAAAAGGGCATTCTCACTGCTGCTCCAGACTGCTCTGACTTATGTGCTTTTTGTAGTGAGATTTACTTACATATGTGTGTATGTATTTGAGAGGCAGGAAGACAGAAGAAGACAGAGATTTTTCCAACAACTAGTTTACTTCTTAAATGGCTGCAGAAGCCAGATCTGGGCCAGTAACTTCATCCTGGTCTCCCACATGGGTTGGAAACATCTGGGACTTAAGCCAGCACTTGAATATGTGATTATCTAGCATTGCAAGCAGCAGCTTAACCTGGTACTGGCAGCGAGGCAGTAAAGAGGAACCAAGCACTACACTGCCCAAACTTGGCCCTTTTCTGTGCTGCTCCAACAAAGCTTCAGGCTCAGGGCATCCACTCCTGAGCCTCACTTCCCAGCATGCACTGGAAGCTTGATACTTGCTGTATCCCACCATACATGTACCAGACACCATGAAGCAGTCCCACCCCTCACTCTGCTCCATCTGATGATCCAACAAGGCCTTACCTTGGTCAACACCCCTGTCCTAAAGGATGACCCTGCCTTATGCCAATCATGACACTCATCCTCTTCTAAGACTGCCCGCTCTTCTGTCCTGCTGTGTACAGTTCCTTGTCTTTCAGTATGTCTTCCATTCACTATCTTCTTTATGGCTCCTCCCGGAACTCTTTCATGCCTGGAGTGAAGTCTGGCAAGCAGGGAAGGGAAAGAGGGAGTCTCTGTCTTCCCCCAGCTGCCACCCACAGTGGCACAATGCTGACCTTGAATGTGTTTTTCTTAAGTTGTCTCAAGTTGCAAGTTGCTTTTCCAGTCTTATTAGTATATGCAGACTTTAGTTCTTAGAAATTCTGTCATTGTGGTTTTATCTGTATCTGAACATGTGGGCCTTAAATTTCAGAATAAACAGGTTTTTCCATTTTTTTCTATTAAGTAACTAACAGTTGGAAGCATCTTACTTAAAAATAAATTCTAATTTAAGGAAACAAATTGGAAAAGGTTTTGTCAATGCTCTGTACAGATCAAAAGCAGAAACATCAGGTGTGCTCATCAGCAGTCTATAAGCTCTTTTCTTTTAACCCATCTCACCTCTCAGTCTCAACATTTATAAAACTAGTCCAGCACTGGTTGACTCATGAGACTCACTTCTGGCTTCATGGTCTTGTTCTGTAATCTAAGCACTCAGCATTTCATTAGGACCATGGGACAGAAAGGAACATATTATGTACATCCTCTTTCTACCATGCTGTTTCCCTCACAACAGCTGCATGCCAAATATGCAGGCTTCTTTCTCACACCCACAATTTGTCCAACTCTCCAGCATGAGCTCAGTGTCCTACAGTCAGTTCAGTTCTGGCACTAACTTCTCAGTTTGCACCAGACACCTACCAGTCCCACCACATTGCCCTGACCTCAGACACTAATTGCAGGCATTAAGTCCTGGCCACTTTACTTCTGTCCAACATGGTTACAGATTTGTAGGTTTCCATGGCACGTAGCCTGACCCAAGGTCTGATAATCCACTAGAACAACTCATGGGCAAGGAAAATGCTTTCCTTAACACAACCCTAGAACCACCTAATGGAAAAGGTGAGCAGGGCAAGGAGCAACCCCGCCTCTGTGAACACTGCTGACCCAGCACCTTCCACCTTCACCAGTGCAGAAGCTCTCGACCTGCTGCATTTATGGACACACTGCTACTCAGGCAGCATTGACCTAATCATTAGTCATGGCTCATTAGTCCAGTTTGAACAGTGACAGGAGCCGGCACATTCTTCTGAGACATGGTGATAGCAAAGACGTTCCAGCCTGCCTGGGATCTGTTGGGAAGACGGGCTATTACTTTGGCTTGATCAGGGGCTGCAGGTTCCTGAAAAACATCTCATTTAAAGTCTAGCACCAGGATGCTGGCTTTGGGAGTAACTTAACTCTGAGTCCTGTGGGGTCCACCCTTCCTTTTCCACATCCAGAATTCAGTGAGTTGACCTTTGAAAAGCTGAGGAGTTGGCTTGTGAGCACCACAGTGAAGATGACATAGGGACTGTACATTGAGGCAGAGGCAGGGTCCAGTAAAACCTACATTGATACTTTAGGGATGGGGCCAGTTATAATGATGGCTCATGTACCTGGGCCCCCACCACCCACATGGGAGGCCCAGATGGAGATACACGTTCCTGTCCTTCATTTGGCCCAGCCTTAGCTGTTGAAGGCTCCTGGAGTGAACCACCAGATGAAAGATCTCTCTCTCTCTCTCTTCCCCGCTTCTCTCCCTCTACCACTGTCTTTTAAATACATACACCACGGGCCCAGCAGTGTGGCCTAGCAGCTGGGGTCCTCACCTTGAACGCACAGGGATCCCATATGGGTGCCGGTTCTAATCCTGGCAGCTTCACTTCCCATCCAGCTCCCTGCTTGTGGCCTGGGAAACCAGTCAAGGACGGACCAATGCTTTGGGACCCTGCACCCATGTGGGAGACCTGGAGGAAGTTCCTGGCCCCTGGCTCTGGATCGGCGCAGCACCGGCCATTGAGGCCATTTGGGGAGTGAATCATCAGACGGAAGATCTTCCTCTCTGTCTCTCCTCCTCTCTGTATATCTGACTTTGTAATAAAAATAAATAAATCTTTTTAAAAAATAAATAAATGCATACACCACACACACATTTTAGAAAAAAAGACATAGAGCTGAAATGTAACTACTTAATAGTCCTTATTTTATGAAGGAAAATTGAACTCAAATAGGTGGTTTCTTAAGCTGAACTGGGTTTGGGGTACTTGATCTTACATGTCAGGTATTCAGATATTTGGTTCTGTTAAATGACAATGTATGTAAAATAACCCGGTAAGTCCTGGCTTGGGGCCAATGTTTAAGAAATGCTTCCATTTCTCCTCTTTCCTTGCCTATCAGTAGATGTAGTCTCTATTTTATGAATTAGATTACAGAAGTGTTACTCATGATACCAGAGTGAAGAAAATCATTGTTCAAACCATGAGAAAGAATCAAGAGTAGTCAACAGGGCAGAGATGAATACTCTATGCCCTCCCCCTTAACCACAAGACTTAGGAGCACCTGTGAACAGCCAGCTCTGCTCTGTACTCTTCTATGGGAAACAAAGCACAACAACAAACCTGAAAGAAGTCATTTGTCTGCAGGCTGAAGACTGGCTTATTTAAATCAATAAGCCTGCTTCTAATGGGAACGCAGGCTCTGTCTTCAAGTGAATCCAAAATTATAAATAAACAAGATACCAAGCCTGCTATTTTCCTTATGCAATAATAATAGGAAGTACAGATTAATAAATTTAAAGTTTTATGTATGATTTTCTTAAAGGGAGTGACAGAGTTCTTTACATTTCTGGCTAAGAAAACTGGTGAGTTGATTTTATTATAATTTCATAATTAGAAACAGTAAATTCAGAAAAGGGAGATATTAACTAACCAAAATCTCACCTACCATTTGTTGAGTCTGTCTCAGATTCTGTTAGAGCCTGTGAGATGTGGGCATGTCCACCTAAAAAGACAGTTAATCCATGTGAATCCATTCTGACAACAGCAGTCCTTTGTGGGACATGCTTGCTTTCACTCACTCGTTCACTTACTGGGTACCATTCAAGAAGCACTTACTGGGAAGTACTGAGGGGCAAAATAGACAACCCATAAGATCTACCAATGGCTAGAGAATATATAGCCAGCAACTCTTATGAGATGTAAATGTCAATTTACACAGTATGCTAGAATCTACACATTTCTTATAAAGTAGATGAAATCAGCAAGTTCCTTTCTTTTTATTCCTTATCTTGTCCAGTTTACTCAAGCATATTTGGTTTCTGGGCTGGGCTACCTAAGCCAGACACATCTATGAGAGGGAATGGGACTAAGAATTCTGCTGGATTAGGGAAACCTCGTCAAACCACAGGGCAAATTCCCCATGGCTGTGGGAAAAGTGGGCACCCTTCCTGGTGCCCCAATTCCGGAATGTGCATGGACTGATAACAACAGCCCTCAGGCTCCACAGCAACAGAATTGTGACTTTCATGCCCCATTTTCAACATTCACAAGAGAAATTCTTTCCTGCCTTCTTTGCTTGTCAAATGGTTAGACAGGTTTACACTTGCTTAACTTTCCAGGTCTCTGGATGTCCTCCAGGGATCACAAAACCCAACAGAAAAGAATCTTAATCAAGGAGGCTCTGAGAAACCTATGGGAGGCAGCAAGAACTTGTTGACTCCTGGCCCAGCTCAAGGAAAACAGAAGCTGAATTCTTAAAATGGCACTAATGTTTTCTGAAATACTAAGAAAAATCAGAATTTCTGGAAGGAATAAGAAGCTATTTCTATTACAGGTGAGACAAGTGGCAGCTCATAACCCATCTCTGAATTCAAAGTCATTGTGCAGGGAATTGTGTGCCCTCCGAGGAAGGAGAGGCTGCCTGGGTTGCAAACTAGAACAACAACAATATCTGCCTAGAACAACAACAAACATCTGAGAAGCAGATGGCTTTATCACTGAAGAAAAACCTACAGGTCTGCTTTGACTCTTGAGGTTACAAATGGGTGTGAGATAGGAAGAGTGAGAGAGAGTGAGAGTGACAGCAAGTGTGGCTGAAACCTCAGCTGCTCCATGCTCAGCCACCGATGGAAAGGTCATCTACCGTCTGCATCATTATCCCAAGCCAAGGTGGCCACAGCAAAGTCACTTAAAAAAATTCAGGTCAGCAGGTTTTTCCCCAAAAGTGAGGACGACACAGATCCAAGATTTGGAACCAAGATCATGATTACAAGAATGCCCTCCACTTCTCACTCCTACTTTTCTTACTTGGTCTGTTCCCCAAATAGCATTAAAATCATATTCTGTCCTATGAGACTGGGGAGAACTCTAGAGCCAATTTCTGAGCAAGAGGAGGCTTGTAAGAGAACAGCCTGCATGAGGGTTTAGTGTAGGAAGCAAAGCAGTTGAAATCATTGAGGCTGGTTGCAGGAAGAACAACTCCAGAGAGCTCCTGGGCAGGCACAAGAGGACAGAAATGCTACCCCAGTTCTGACCTGGTCACTACAGCGTCATCACTGTTTTGCACATCCCCTTTGCCTAGACTGTCCCAACTTCTCAAGTCAGAACCACTGGGAAAGAAAATGAAGTCCCTGGCCAAGGGATATGGAGTCTTTCTACCCATCCACTTTTCAGAAAGAGGCCTCTGCCTTTCCCCACCCTTCTTTGTGGTGAAGATGACACCCTCAGGAGTGTGCCTCGGCCAAAGTTCACTCCAGCAGGTGAACAGTATGACTCATTTCAGTGCCTGTTTTCAGAAAACACATGCAACAGTTCAGACAAACAGTGCAGTGAGTGAAGGCGCAGCTGAGAGCACCAGCATGCCACAACACAGCATTTGTTTAGGCTCCAGCTACTCCACTCTTCTGATCTAGCTTCTTCCTAAAGCAGCTGGGACAGTACAAGATGACTCAAGCATTTGGACATGTGACACCCACATAGGAGACCTGGATAGAGTTCAGGTTACTGAATTGAACCTGGCCCAGACCCAGTTACTAAGGTTATTTGGTAAGTGACTCAGTAGAAGGAGGAACTACCTCCCTCTATCTCTCACTTTCTGCCTTTCAAACACATAAATGATTTTCAAGAGGAGAATACATAAAACTATCCAAATTAATCTTTCAGAAAGAAAAAAAAATTTTTTTCCTCTTATGACACTTAAAAAAATCTATCCACAACTCAGATTCAGAGAAAAGGATCATTAGGGAGGTTGTTACTGTTTAAATCCTCTGAGAAACAACTATGGAAAACCAAACAGAACTAAGAGCTGGTGGGAAAATGAAACGACTCACAACAAGTTCACAAGAATGACTGTGTGATAAACCAATAAAATCAAGACACACCAATAATACATATAATGTATGCTCAGAGTAACAACACAATATGCACACCTCTACAGGAGCAAATACCCAAATATTCGTCAAAGGTAGAGGGGACAGAGGGTGGTCTGTTGATACAAGGGTGTAAAATACTCTTGACAGAAAACACAAGGTGGTACACCACACACAGGGTGTTACTCAATCCTGACAGGGACACAGGGTGGTACACCCCCACACAGGGTAGTTACCCAGTCCTGACAGGGACACAGAGTGGTACATCCACACACAAGGTGGTTACCCAGTCCTGACTGGGACACTGGGTGGTACACCCACACACAGGGCGGTTACCCAGTCCTGACTGGGACACTGGGTGGTACACCCCCACACAGGGTAGTTACCCAGTCCTGACAGGGACACAGAGTGGTACATCCACACACAAGGTGGTTACCCAGTCCTGACTGGGACATAGGGTGGTACACCCACACATAGGGTGGTTACCCAGTCCTGACTGGACACAGGGCAATACACCCACACACAGGGTTAAGGTCTTGACAGGAGTCAGATGGTTTCTAAATAACAGAGCAATGTGTGATTTAGTCATCACAGGAATCTTTGTGACACACGTCACCTCATGGATAGTCAGTCAGAAACCACTCAATATTGTATGACTGCATTACAGGAGAGATTAAAAAAAGGTGACACAAACAGTAATGGTTGTGTGCTTGAAGGGGGTTGGGTACACTGTGGAGAGTAAGTCTTCGGGGCTGTACAATTGGGCTGGTTGCACAACATGGTGAAGGTACTGGCTGCACAGTTTACTGTTAAATCTTCCATTGCACTTTCACATTAGTTAAACACTAAGACAGGCAGGGGTGGCTCTCAGGAGGGTGAGGTTTGGTTGGCACATACCTGGCAGGTGTGGGTGGCGTGGGCTTGGAGGCGAAGGTACTTCTTCAGAAGCATACTTCAGAAGCTGCTTCCCCAGATATGTAACCTGCACACAATTAGGCACAAAATGTAAAGTACTTCCTGTAAGAAGCAAATACGCCCATATCCTGTGAATTTTAACTTTTGTACAACGGTTTTTCATTTCTTTCATGTGTCCAGCTCCCTGGGCACTGCAGCAGACCTTAGTGGTTGTGACAGAGATGTTCCATTCACAGAGCATACAACACATGCGATCTACCCTTTGACCAAAAAGGGCACATTTGTAAAGAGTATCTCCAGTACTCTGCTGTGGGGATTAAAAGAACTGACAAAGAAAAAGCATTTGGCTACTATACTAGCTCATTCTGAGTGCTCCTGTAATGCATGCTAAATGGAACAGAGTGAGGAGGGTCTGGAGAACTGTAAGGCACTGCACCTTTGCAGGGCAATAATTAAGCAGAGCTGGCGATGGGTACACAACAGGCCTGGCAGAACCAGGGTGCCAACTCCTGGCATGAAAAAAGGAGAGGTCATGTCAGTTTCCAAAGAAACAATTCAGAAACAATGGATTCTGAATGAGCCACTCCCTGACTAAGTCCAGGACTCTACACAACCAATAACCTGACTTGCCCAAACTACGGGTGCTTTAAGAAATTCCACTCTGTTAAACTTTCCACAAGCAGTCATGAATTATTGAACAGGCTAATGGACAGGCACGAAGTCACTTCTGGAAACTACATTTGCTGAGTGCCTGTGAGCTGGATGGTTAACGGCTCACAAGTGCACGGCACTCAAATCTAGAGATCTGAACCCACATTGTCTTGCCAGATCAAGATCTGGCACACATGTCTGCTCTGGCAGGGCACAGCAGAAAGAGCTTAGTGGTTCAGCAATGTGCCACCCAAGACTCAGGTTTACAAGGGCAGCCAACGTGACATGACCCTCAGCCCTCACCTGGAGGGGCACAGGTCAGCAAATCAGAGCTTGGGAACAGCCTGTGAGGACACCTACAGGTGCTGCAATCCTACTTTCAAAAATGTGCAACATCCATGGTCCTTTTTGGAACCACTGATGCCTTAATTCACGTTCTTACAGGAGAAGGTCCACCACAGCTCAGCAATGAACCTGGGCTGACCCAGAGGTAGGCGGAGCATATGGAGTAACTGGGCGCAGATGTATGGCGAGGTTGGACCATACAACCTGTCACTCTAAAGGAAACATACTTAGCAAGCCTATGCAATTGTCAAGTACATTTATTTTGGTAAGATCTTCTTAAGAGACAGGGCCAGTCTGGTGGCTCAACAAGTTAGTCCTACACCTGTAAGCACCAGCATCCCATATGGGCACGGGTTTGTGTCCTGGCTTCTCCTCTTCAGATCCAGCTCCCAGCTTGCAGACTAGGAAAACACAAGAGGATGGCCCAAGTCCTTGGGACCCTGCACCCACGTGGTAGACCCGCAGGAAGCTCCTGGCTTCAGATCGGCTTAGCTGTGGCTGTTGTGGCTACTTGAGGGGTGAACCAGCAGACAGAAGATCTTTTGTCTCTATTTCTCTCTGTAACTCTGCCTTTCCAATAAAAACAAAATAAATTTTTAAAAAAACCTTCTGAAGAGACAACATGCAGTGTTTACTCTCATGATTAATTACCATTTGCTCACACATTAATGTGCATAAAAACTGCAAAACAGCTTGCCTGTGAATTCTCAGGAGGTGTTCAAGAATTTATTTCCCTGTTGGTACTATGTTTTTCACATCTCCAGAAAATCCATTTGCTGAAACTAACAGGATTACCAAGTGTTTGTTTTATTTTCACTTCAAGCTATACAAATTTTATTTTTAACATAAAATTTTAAGAACAAATAGACAGCTGGGTTTTATCTCAGGGTTGTGGGATAAATGGCAAAGAAACAAAAGAAAAGTGTAGACTTTCTTTTAGGTGCATTATATCAAAAAATAATTCTCTAAGAAAATGAGATATTTCCCAAATAAAAAAGTTCTTTAGAGATTCAGAACATAAGACAGAAAGTGAGTTCAGCATGATTCTTAGCACAGGAAGTACCAGAGAGCTCGGGTACTTACCTACCCACCATACCCAGTCCAGGCTCTGATGTACTCCCTCAGCACCAGGACTCCCTAAGGACTCCCCAGTACCAGGACTCCATCAGGACTCCCCAGTACCAGGACTCCCCAGCACCAGGACTCCCCAGCACCAGGACCCTCTCAGTACCAGGACTCCCCAGCACCAGGACTCCCCAGCACCAGGACCCTCTCAGTACCAGGACTCCCCAGCACCAGGACTCCCCAGCACCAGGACCCTCTCAGTACCAGGCCTCCCTCAGCACCAGGACTCCATCAGGACTCCCCAGCACCAGGACTCCATCAGGACTCCCCAGCACCAGGACTCCCCAGCACCAGGACCCTCTCAGTACCAGGACCCTCTCAGTACCAGGACTCCCCAGCACCAGGACTCCCCAGCACCAGGAGTCCCCAGCACCAGGACCCTCTCAGTACCAGGACTCCCCAGCACCAGGACCCTCTCAGTACCAGGACTCCCTCAGCACCAGGACTCCATCAGGACTCCCTCAGTACCAGGACTCCCCAGCACCAGGACTCCCCAGCACCAGGAGTCCCCAGCACCAGGACCCTCTCAGTACCAGGACTCCCCAGCACCAGGACTCCCCAGCACCAGGACCCTCTCAGTACCAGGACTCCCTCAGCACCAGGACTCCATCAGGACTCCCTCAGTACCAGGACTCCCTCAGCACCAGGACTCCCTCAGGACTCCCCAGCACCAGGACTCCCCAGCACCAGGACTCCCTCAGGACTCCCCAGCACCAGGACTCCCTCAGGACTCCCTCAGCACCAGGACTCCCTCAGGACTCCCCAGCACCAGGACTCCCCAGCACCAGGACTCCCTCAGGACTCCCCAGCACCAGGACTCCCTGCTCCTGCTTGTGCATACCTCACTCAGGGCCACAAGCCTAGCCACCTGCTCCTCTTCCCTCTCCTTCACTCCCCTCCTCTGCACCTGAAAGCACACATAGCAGCCCCACCTCACTGCCAAGAGAGCAGCCAAATTCTTCACCTGCAAGGATCCTTTCCTGGGCTTTCACACCAGTGAGCTGTCTGTGCCATTAGAATAGTTATCTTAGTTTTCATACTGCAACTGTTTCACAAAATGGCCTTTTTCCTGTGGGAAATCTTTCCTTGCACAAGACTGAGGCTTTGCATCCACTCACAAAGGGGGCAGATAATATTGCAGGCTCTTCTTTAGTCCAGGGCAACCATTCCCACAGAAAGCTCAGTTCTCTCTGTGCCGCTGTGCCAGAAGCAGAACACAGTGCAGAGGACGGCCAAGGGAGGCTCCAGGCCCTGTTCCATAACTCACTGGCCTTGAGGCTAACCAGGTAACAGAACCTGCTGAAAGTCTGCTTTCATCTGTAAACTGGGTAACAGCTGATCTTGCTGCCTGAGAAGGCTGTTGTGTACAAGTGCCTGTGAGCCACACAGCACTGCCTGAGTCCTAGAACCTGCTGGTAGGCAGGATCTTTCAAACACCTAGCCCTTGGTGGCCAGCACTGTGACACAGCAGGTTAAGCTGCCACCTCTGATGCTGACATCCTATTTGGTTGCCAGTTCAGTTTGCTTCCATGGCAGCAGCACATGGCCCAAGGATCTGGGTCTCTGCCACCTACAAGCAAGACCCAGTTGGAGTTCAAGGCTCTTGCCCTCAGGCTGGCCCAGCCTCAACCATTTTGTTACACAGGCTTGATCTCTGTCCCACTCTCTGCCTTTCAAGTAAGTAAAATAAAGGACCACACTATTTGAATAGGTAGTTAAATTTAAGAATAATTATAAAATAAACAGGAGGAAAGAAGGGAGGGAGGGAGAAAGGAGAGCTCTGACTCACCTTGCTCCAAACGTAATTCCAGGTCACATAACTGTCACCTCCCACAAGATCCTTGATCCAGCTAACGGGGTTTTGATAAATCTGACCACTTTCAACTTTAATTTTACCATTCACTAAAATGCTGGCTTTGTGGGTAGTCTCCTGAAGTGAAAAATAAAAAAATTAAAAATATCTGAAATATATAGACTTTTGCATTTGGCTATGATAAAGAATCAGGACCACAGTTACTCTAACACCGGATATAACCAAAAGCGGATTAATTGTAAGCATCAGACAAAAACTACAGTGAGCCCGGAAACAAAAGTATAATGGGAAAACCCTACACTCATCCCAGCTTCCCACCTTGAGGGCATCCCCAGGCCAAAAGGGGGACCCCAGCACAGCACCCAGGTAGGTAGTAGGAAGAGCTGCAGCGGGGAAGGTCAGAAAGGGAGAGCTTTGTGACTGGGTTCTCTTGAGTAGTGAGTGTGTTTGAGTGTGCAGTAACCAAGGATGGTGCCACCTGACAGAATTAGAGGAACTTGGGCAGGGCTCCCCCAAGGCAGGGAGTGGTGCTGTGCCCACCAGTCAGACTGAGGAGCCTTCCGAGCCAACGGGGAATTGGTAAGGTGCTCAGAGGAGTCCTGCCCCACTAAAGTCAACACTGAACTAATCTTGCCTAACAAATCCCAAGCAAGACACAAAAGATCCAAACTGGTTCCAAAAATCTTAACTGTATTGTAAAACCGAAGATGTCAAACTATTTGTAATACACAAGATAAATTTCATAACTTCTGGGATCCAACAAAAAAATTAACAGACTTAGGAGCTGGTGTCTCGGTGCAGCAGATTAAATGGGACATCCCACACTGGAGTGCTGTCTGGAGTCCCGGCTGCTCCACATGGCATCCAGCTCCCTGCCGAGTGCGAAGATCAGCGGAAGGCAGCACAGGTAGTTTGGTTCCTGTCACCAGGGTGGGAGGCCCGGATGGAGTTTCAGGTTCCCAGTTTCTGCCTGGCTGAGCTCCGACTATTGAGGCCATTTAGGAAGCAAATCAGCAAATGGAAGATCTCTGTCACTCTGATTTTTTTTTAAAGATTTATTTTTATTATTTTTTTATTGGAAAGGCAGATATACAGAGAGGAGAGACAGAGAGGAAGATCTTCCATCTGATGATTCACTCCCCAAGTGAGCGCAATGGCCAATGCTATGCCGATCCAAAGCCAGGAGCCTCTTCCAGGTCTCCCACGCTGGTGCAGGGTCCCAAAGCTTTGGGCCGTCCTCGACTGCTTTCCCGGGCCACAGGCAGGGAGCTGGAAGGGAAGCAGGGCTGCCAGGATAGAACCGGTGCCCATATGGGATTCCGGGCGTGCAAGGCGAGGACCTTAACCACTGCGCCACTGCGCCGGGCCCTGTCACTCTGATTTTTAAACAGGCAAATAAATCTTTTCTAAAAAGCCATATTAAAATAAAATAACAACAACAAAAAATAAATAAAAAACAAAACAAAAGCCACAGTAAAACAGAATCCATACAAAGGAAATAAAGCAATGAACAGAAAATGACCGAGATGTGATGGAGATGTTAGAATTAGCAGACAGAAGCGTGAAGTTGCAGTCACACTCTTTAGGAAGTTAGGTGTTTGTTGGGGAGTGGTGTGTTAACTCACAGTCTGCAACACTGGCAATCCCAGCTGCTCCATGTCCAGTCCAGCTCCCTACTAACACACCTGGGGAAAGCAGTGGGAGGAGGCCCAGGGGCTCCAGCCCCTGCACGCACCTGGCAGCGCCTGAGGGAATGCCACACGTTGGGCTTCAGTCTGGCCTAGTTCGAGCTACTACATCCATCTGAGGAATAAACCAGCAGGTATAAGTTTGTTCTCCTGATCGATCGATCTATCTATCTACCTACTTATCTATCTATCTATCCATCCTTCTGTCCAGTAAGTTTGACTTTGAAAAAAAAATTTGTGGAAGATACAAAAAAGACTCAAATTTCCAGAGATGAAGATTATAATGTATAAGATGAAGAACAGCAGAATACACTGAAAGGGATTAATGACAAGATAAACATTACAAACAAAAGGATTAGTTAATATAAAGGTATAGCATGTAGAAATGAAACATACATACAAATTTTTTAAATGAACAGAGCATCAATGAGTTCTGGAATTATCTCCAAACAGCATAGTATGGGTGTCACTGCAGTTCAAAACAGAAGGAGTAGAAAGGAAAGTATTGGGAAAAAATGAATGTTAAAATTTTCCCAAACTTGAGAAAATGAAAACCTAAAACTCCCAGAAGGTCAGCAACTCTCAGCATAAGAAACACGAAAAAAAAAAAAGGAAAATCACTTCAGTATTCATTATAGTCAAAAGAGCTGGGCCTGGCCTTGTGACATACAGGCAAACAGCCACCTGCAATGGGAGCATCACCCGTGGGCACGGGTTTGAGTTCCAGATGCTTGTGGTGGTACTCCACAGCCAAGGCTTACTGGGTTACACTTTGGGCTCTACAGGCTCTGTTCTGGTCCTTGCCCTTCTTGCCTGCTCCCATGCACCATTTGAGTTAACTGAATGCTTTGTACAGCCATACCACTCAAGTCAATTGGAGTGTGAGGGCTTAAAAACCCCTGACTTCGGCCACATGGGACAGTGCCTTCAGAAGCATATCAGGAGATGCTGTTGCCAATATTAGTTAATACTCTTCTTAAAAACCTACACTTCTGGGCCCGGCGCAGTGGCGCAAGTGGTTAAAGGTCCTCGCCTTGCACGCCCGGAATCCCATATGGGCGCCGGTTCTAATCCTGGCAGCCCTGCTTCCCTTCCAGCTCCCTGCCTGTGGCCTGGGAAAGCAGTCGAGGACGGCCCAAAGCTTTGGGAACCTGCACCAGCGTGGGAGACCCGGAAGAGTCTCCTGGCTTCGGATCGGCATAGTATCGGCCCGTTGTGCTCACTTGGGGAGTGAATCATCGGACGGAAGATCTTCCTCTCTGTATATCCGCCTTTCCAATAAAAAAATAATAAAAATAAATCTTTAAAAACCTACACTTCTGCCTGGCATGATTGCTCTTTCTCACACTCCACAACAGCTCTACTTATGATTCAACTTCCTGTAAGTGTGCTTGGGGAATACAGAACACGACCCCAGTACACATGTGGGAGACCCAGTAGAAGCTCCTAGCTCCTGGCTTCAGCTTGGCTCAGTCCTAGATATTGTGGACACTGGGGAGTGAAACAGCAGATGGAAGATCTCTCTACCTCTTTTTCTCTGTAACTTTGCCTTTCAAATGAAAAAACAACTGCTTAAGACCAACAATAAAGAGAAAAACTTGAAAAGCAGCCAGAGGAGGGAAAAGTTCTTGCTTTTGGCAAGGAGCAAAAGTCAACAATGTTAGATTTCTGCCTGGAAACACCAGAAACACAGCATAGCACCATCTCCAAGGTCCTCAAAAAACAAACAAACAAACAAACAAACAAAAAAACCTGCCAACCTAGGGCTCTACTAGGCAAACAAAACAAAACAAAACAAAACAAAACAAACAAAAACAAAAACAAAAATGGAGAGCCTGACTCCTGACCCCCATGGGTGAGACCCAAATGGAGCTCCTGGCTCCGAGAAGAGAACTCACTGATGGAAGATCCATCTCTCTTCTTCTCTCTCTCTCCATCTTTTGAAGAAAATAAACAGTCCTTTTGAATACAAAGATGAAATAAGCTTTCTGAGACTTGAAGAAGCCTAAGGGTTCTAACCAGCAGCCACCCCAGAAGTGTCAGAGGTCCCAGGTGGGAGTCAGCAATGGGATTTGCAGAAGGCAATCGAGCACTCGCACAAGAAAGCACACGGCAAAAAGTCCGCCTGGTTGTCCATTCTGTCCTTTAAAATCACTCAAACGACAACAGCAACATACGCGATGCTTATTACTTGGAGTGAAAATAGAAGATATATGGAAACATTACTTTGATACTTGTACAATATGTGTGATGTGGTGTATGTAATATTAAAGGTAGGCTGATAAGTAAAACATATTACAAATGTTAGAAGTACAATGAAAATAACAAAAAGAATTATAGTTAGTAAAGCAACAAAGGAGATACAATAGCAAAAAACTCAAAAGGAAACAAGGAATAAAGAAATAGAAAATGCCATATGATGGATTTAAACCCAACTACCTCAGAACTAACATTAAATGGGAATTTTCCAGGACTGACTTCTGGCCTGAAAGCAACATGTACTCATGGAAGCTCCACTTTGAAATACGACTTTCCCCAGGTGGATGGAACAGGCCGGCCCTCTCCTCACCCACTCAGTGAGGACCTGAGTGAGTTCTCTGAGATTTACAGGCTGACCCAGGCCCCGGAATTCCTGTGGGGTAGGCCTCACTGGGAGAGGCCACTGTACTCAAGGCATGTGTATCAAGATGGGACACAGTGTTAAGTCAGGCAGTACCTGCACAGGCCACACTTCCAACACACAATGCCGAGTCCCCAGCCATGGCTCTAAGGGTGTGCAGCAAGGAAGCACCTACTTGACAAAACCCATAAAACAGGTTAAAAAGGGAGTCAGCAGGGCTTGCACCCAAACTGCTCCGACCTTCCCACTCAGCACGCTGAGGCAGGACCCGGTTGATGGCTGCTGCCTACAGGCTTGCTCTTTTTGATTAGATTGTTTACAAGTCACAAAACTCTGTAAATAATTGTAACAACATCTACATGATTTTCTAGTATTTCTATATCACATAAGGTAATAAAAGAGGCACAGATGGAGTACGATTGTAAGGGCCCACATTTCTGTACCTATTCAAAGTTAATACAGTGTTAACTACTGAGCTGCTTCAGTCAAGTGAAGATGCATATTAAGCCCTAGAGCAGGTGATGCAGACATAGCTTGAAGAAGAAGCTAAACATGACACTGCAAAAAATATTCACATAATGTAAAAGAAAACAATAAGGGAAGTGCAGAGGAAAAAAAGATTTACTAAGATTCTCTTTCTGGGCCCAGTGCAGTAGCCTAGCAGCCAAAGTCCTTGCATGTGCCAGGATCCCATATGGGCACCAGTTCTAATCCCGGCCACTCCACTTCCCACCCAGCTCCCTGCTTGTGGCCCAAGAAAGCAGTTGAGGATGGCACAAAGCCTTGGGACCCTGCACCTATGTGGGAGACCCAGAAGAAGCTCCTGGCTCTTGGCTTTGGAATGGCTCAGTTCCAGCCACTGTAGCCATTTGGGGAGGAATTAGTGGATGGAATATCTTCCACTCTGTTTCTCCTCCTTTCTGTTATCTGACTTTCCAATAAAAATAATAAATAAATCTTTAACAAAGCCATAGCAATAAAGTACTATACAAATGTGTAATCACACACCCATCTACACAAGATGCTACTACGGCTGAAACTAAAGAACTATTCATAGGTCTGGCGCAATGTCTCAGTGGCTAAATCCTCGCCTTGCAAATACTGGGATCCCATATGTATACTGGTTCATGTCCCAGCTGCTTCTCTTTCCCTTCCAGCTCCCTGCTTGTGGCCTGGGAAAGCAGTCAATGATGGCCCAAAGCCTTAGGACCCTGTACTTGCATGGGAGACTTGGAGCAGGCTCCTGGCTCTTGGCTTCAGATCGCTCAGCTCCAGCCATGCAGCCACTTAGGGAGTGAAACAGCAGATGGAAAATCTTTCTCTCTGTCTCTCCTTCTCTCTGTAAATCTGTCTTTCCAATAAAAATAAAAACATTGGAAACTTGTTAAAAAGTTAAATAATACAGATGCTCCATTTCTAGGTATTTATTTTAAATCAAAGTCTGTGCAATACCAAGACTCACACATCAATATTCATAATAGCTTATACTTAATAGTCTGAGGTGAGTACTACTTACCACCAACACACTGGTTGACAGGCAAGAAATAGCAACATTGTGGGACTTGAGATTAAGCTACTAAGTGGGTCATACCATTCCATGCTGGAGCTCTAAACAGGAAGTACCTGAGTATCCAGAAAGGGGAAGAGCTGGAGAAAGGTCATTCCAATTAAATTGCACACAGTCTGGGTTTCTGTTGGCTTGGTCCATAAACAAGGAAGCAAGCAGGGACTCGGGAGTCCTACCATTCTAAATTCCTCTTTGTAAATGTGAATGTGAGGAGACAGGAGAGGGTACTTCCTTTGTAGGGGTACCTAGCAGACACTCTTTCTCCAATATTGTCATGCATGCACCACAAGGCACATTTACCCAAACTCCAAGCCACTCTTTTGGATGCTTCCACAGCATACTAGTCACTTCCAAGTCCCTGGAATGGAAGCCAGCACAATGTATTATTTCTACATTGCTCTCACATTCTTCTTGTTGCTACAGGACTAATTCTAGCATGAGGTGAGATGTATCAGGCAATTACAAAAGCACCATTTCACTTGTCAGGAACACAGTCAATGTGACCCTCCATCCAGAAAGCCCAGTCCCTTATCTCCCCAGTCAGAGCCACACTCCATCTCCCTCCTCAGAGCCAGAGGCCCATACTGCACGAGGCAACATGGACCCACTACCACAATCACATGACCTTGAGAAAAAAATAATTAACATGATACCTGTGTTTTGAATTCCAGAATGTTAACCCCTGGATGAATCCTTCCTAGAGACATCAGGTCTTTTATCTGCATACATTTCTTTTTGGGAGTTGTGCTGTGATGGAATGGCTTTCTGACGACTTCCTGTTGACCAGCTCCAGAAGAGGAGGCATGGCTATGTGGAGTTGCAAGTGGTGGTTTACCAGATGGACCTACTGGGTGCACAGCATGGCTGCCTGAGAGGACAGCACCCTGGTGCACAGGGTACTTGGGGACCATTCTAGGGTGCTGCTGGGAGGCAACTTTCCTGTTTTGTTGCTGCAGACTGTCAACAGAAAGGTCTTCACCTGATGTGGCAGTGAGCAGACAGACATCTGTGGGTTCTGCAGAAGGCCTGCAGCGTCCACGCCCATCAGCTGCAGTCTCTGTGGAATTGTTCTCTCTGTGTGAAGATTCCACATCTGCAGTAGCAGCAGGTTGGGACGATGGCTTAGTCTTCTCAGTGCTGTCAGGATATCTGGACTTCGCTAACCCATCCAAAACTCGGTCACTGGAAAACTGCTCAGCATTTGCCTTGTTTTCAAATACGTTTTCTCTGCTCATCACCTCCACCTCTGCACACAAACTGGTGTTCTGGCTGTCACTCCAAGTTTCAAGGGTATCAGGACAGGGGGCAGCTGACTGGGGCCACACAGAATTTTCCAGACTGGTAAGCTGCTGGAGATCCCCCTCACTGGAGATTTTTGAGGTCGGTTTCCTTACAGCAAAACCAGGCAGCAAGGCACTGTTCTTACAGTTTTGAATTTTCAGGCTTATTTCCTTCTGTTTTTTGGCCACAGCTAAGAGGTCCTTCTGTCTCGTGGCCAAGTTGGTCAGCTGTTCTCTCAGAACTCCCTGCTTAAATGACTCTATGGATACCCTACAGGAAGCAAGAGAAAAAAGGACAAACACATAAGCAGTGGATTCTGTTTTTAGAGGTCATTTAGGTGTCTGATTCTGTTTCAATTGTAAGTGGCTTTGAGGACACCAAGGGTGCTAGCTACACAGGACGTCCCCTTTGAAAGGGGGCGGAACCCATACACGAGGCGCGGAGTCCTGCACAAAGAGGCAGAGTCATGCATAAAAGGGCGGGGCCCCGCACGGGAGGGGCAGAGTCCTGTATATAAGGAGGCCTTTGCCAATCTTAGGCTTTGACAATGCATCTGCTTGGATTTATTTTGAGGTCATTATTTGTCAGCCATGAGAAAAAAGGTCATTTATGTAGATCTCTACCAGTCTGTGATCAGGAGGACAGTATCCTGCTTCAGTGGGAAAGTTAAACTGAGGAATCTGGAAGGCAAAATGGGAGTAAACTCCTTCAGTCCCTTCCCCAAATGATTCCTGTAGTTGCACTTGAAGCCTGCACTGAGACACGTGGTGTCCTGGCGACTGCCCACAGCAGCCGCGTCCTGGCGACTGCCTACGGCAGCCACATCCTGGTGACTGCCCACACCAGTGGTGTCCTGGCGACTGCCCACACCAGCCGTGTCCTGATGTCAGACACATGCCCCAGGCTCTTTAAGATACAGCAGGAAACAGGAGACAGTACCATCTTTGGGCTATGACACTGGGAAATCAAGACTTCCTGGGCCTCAGGACCTACTTATGCTCAAGAATTACCAAGAAACTCAACAAGTAGCTTTCCTTCGTGCCGACTGTATCTATCAATATTCACTGTTTCAGAAATTAATGCTGAGAATGTTTTAAAATATTTTTTAAAATAATTCCTATTGGGAAAGCAAATTTACAGAGAGAAGCAGAGACAGGGAGAAAGATCTTCCAAACACTGGTTCACTCCCAAGTGGCTACAATGGCCAGAGCTGAGCTAATCTAAAATCAGGAGCCAGGAGCCTCCTCAGGGTCTCCCACATGGGTGCAGGGTCCCAACACAATAGTACATAGTTGTTTCTTTCTGAACCATCCAACTTTCATTTTGTGCTGCCAGTTGTTTGCTGATTTTCCCACTTATATATACTCTTGTTAATGCTTACTCTGCTTGGAATTTGATATCAACAGCTCTAAACTTTGATAGGAAAGTGAAGTGCATTTCCTATTGCTTTTTCATGAAACCTCAGATCATAAAGACCACTTCAGGAGCATCTGTGAAGTTAAACATGTTTTTACAACATATTTAATGGTGTGTTTTACTGTTTTTGCATGTGTGGAGTATTTTTCAAAGAATGCATAATGTTATCATTACTCTAAGGGCTAATGGAATGGGTACATTTGTATTTTAGCTTTTAGAAATCTCTTGGGCCCAGCATGATGGCTCAGTGGCTAAATCCTCCCCTTGCAAGTGCTGGGAGCCCATATGGGTACCAGTACATTTCCTGGCTGCTTCACTTCCCTCCAGCTCCCTGCCTGTGGCCTGAAAAAACAGTTGAGAACAGCCCAAAGCCTTGGTACCCTGTACCTGCATGGCAGGCCCAGAAGAAGCTACTGGCTTTGGATCAGCTCAGTGTTGTAGCCACTTGGAGAGTGAACCAGCACACAGAAGGTCTTTCTCTCTACATCTCCTTCACTCTGTATATCTGCCTTTGTAATAAAAGTAAATAAATCAATCTTTAAAAAACTAAATAAATTTAAAAAGTGCTCTCGCTAAAGTGCTCACACCAAGATCAGTCCCTTTCTGAAACTCCAGGTGTGCTGTGAGCCACAGGGCTCTGTAGGAGACCGCAGCTGTAGTCAGCCACCTTTTACAGCACATAAACTCTCACCGGCACCAACAGGAGGCAAGACAGGGAGAATGATTCACTGGCAAGAGAGGCAAAGTGAGGATCACACAGTAGGTCAATCAACCAACAAAACAAACAAACAAACAAAAACCGAATATAATTAGGTATTGAAGGATTATTACTTGGCGCTATATCACAGTAAGCTAAGCTGCCACCTACAACGCATCCTGGCTGCTTTGCTTCCTAACCAGCTCTTTGTCAAAGCACTTGAAAGGACAGTTCCAGCCCTTGGGCCCCTGTCAGCAACACAGGAGGCCAAGCTGGGGTTCTGGATTCCTGGCTTCAGCAGGCACCAGTCCAGGAAGCAAACCAAATGCAAGATTCCTTCTCTCAGTCAAGTCAACTGTTTGGAAGGAAAGCAGCTGTGGCACTTTTTGTGGGGAAAAACTGCAATGCGGAAAACCAATGTGTGCTAAGGAAAGACCTTTGCCACCTTCAGGCAAGTGTAATTCCCTGTGGAGATCAGACAACCTCATAAAATCAAATACATGAATTCCAGAAATGACAAAGCACTTCCATTTTTTCACTCACCTGTATTTTTTAGCAAGATCATCTCTTTCTGCTTTCTGTTTTGCAAGCACATTATCCATAACCTCTTTGATCTCCAGCATCTTCTCGATGTATTGTTCTAGACACCCAGAGATAAAAAGTTCATTTCAGTTGGTCACTCACGGTCAGCCCTACTGTTACTTTTTTTAAACCATCACTCCCTGGTCACCTCCCCAGGACTCCAAGGGCTGAGCATCTGGCCCAGTGGTCAGCACACCCTGCTCCACACTGGGGACTTGGGCTGGATGCCAGGATTCAGCCCCTGACAAGGCAGACCCTGGAAGGCAGAAGCGATGGCCCAAGCGGCTGGGTTCCTGCCACCCTCCTGGGCCAGATGGCATGAGTTCCTGCTCCAGAGTTAGCCCCATCCTTGGAGGGCATGTGGGGGAAAAAATCAACAGATGGAAGCTCTCCCCAACTCTCTTATTATGCTCCTTAAATTAAAAAAAAAATCAATTTCCATTAAGACTTGAATAGTTATGTTACTCAGTGGGGATGTTCTGAGATATATAGGAACCAACACTATACACTGTACCTAGAGACAGCCACCCCCATGACAAAGCTTGGCATACCTGGATAAAGCATGGGACTCTGGGGCAGCTTCTGTATTCACCAAATGTTTTTCAAACAAGAGGGTTTGCAGAGATGAAAAGCGTGCCTCCTCCTGTTTATTCCACAGGGAGGCTGCTGTTAACACAGGTATTAACACTGTGTATGTTTGTGTGTTCTTGGCTGTAGATTACTGAATCTACTGGTTTAAAGACTTGGGACTGTGTAACAGCACCTCTTACATCCTTAAGCATTAGACTCATGCTATCAGTTCTTGTCCTTTGAAAGCAATGCTCTGGGCCTGGTGCGATAGTGTAATGGTTAAGGTCCTCGCCTTAAAAACGCCAGAATCCCATATGGGCACCAGTTCTAGTCCCAGCAGTTCCACTTCCCATCCAGTTCCCTGCTTGTGGGCTGGGAAAGCAGTCGAGGACGGCCCAAAGCCTTGGGACCCTGCACCCACGTGGGAGACCTGGAAAGAAGTTCCTGGCTCCTGGCTTCGGATCAGCACAGCACAGGCTGTTGTGGCCACTTGGGGAGTGAATCATCAGATGGAAGATCTTCCTCTCTATCTCTCCTCTCTGTACATCTGCCTTTCCAATAAAATAAATATTTTTTTAAAAAATTAAAAAAAAGAAAGCAATGCTCCGATAATCCCGTTTGATAAAGTTACTTAGCATATAAATTGACTACTGCAATAATTAAGTTTTCCTATTTTCTCTCTTTGCTTCCCAAATAAGGCTGATTTTGCCTATCACAAGTGCACAGGATTTATATACCATGTGGTTTATGCCTCAAACTGGATATCTAAGTATAGAACTGCCAGGTATTATACCTAGTTTAAAAAAAAAAAACAACTAAATCTTACTTCTAAGCAACATATTTTTTTGTTTCATTTTGGCTTTTGTTAAGGGTCTTCCTAATTTTTTTGACCAGTGAGCATTTTTCTACATAATGTGAAAAAATCTCAGCGTGACGTGACTGAATGATTGAAGAGCCTCCTTAGACAAATATGAGCAACGATGTAAAATGACAAAAACAGCGGCCAGAGCTTGTCTTATTGCACCCCAGCTGGGCACAGGCCACACCACAAAGGGCTAGAAGAATTCGGATATGTATGTATTACAGAAGTTGAATCTGTTTATAAACACTTTTAAATAACTTTTGAGCCCTGTCTTGCTGGGTTTTCTAATTGAATTTTAAACTGCAAGTAAAGACAACCTCATATAGTAACCTAAAATATTCTATAGATTTCTTTTTTTTTTTTTTTGAAATTTGTAAAACAGCTCGTTTGAAAGGGAAAGTGAGGGCCCGGCACGATGGCGCAGTGGTTAAAGTTCTCACCTTGCATGCCCGGGATCCCATATGGGCGCCGGTTCTAATCCCGGCGGCCCTGCTTCCCTTCCAGCTCCCTGCCTGTGGCAGTTGAGGACGGCCCAAAGCTTTGGGACCCCACACTCCCACCCGCGTGGGAGACCCTGAAGAGGCTCGGACGGAAGATCTTTCTCTCTGTCTCTCCTCTCTGTATATCTGCCTTTTCAATAAAAATAAATCTTTAAAAAAAAGAAAGAAAAGAAAGGCAGAGTGAGAGAGAGAAAGTGATTGATCTTCCATTTATTGGTTCCTTTCCCCAAACAGCAACAGTCAAAGCTGGGCCAGGCCAAAGCCAGGAGACTAGAACTCCACCTGGGTCTCTCACACGGGTATCAAGGGTCCAAATACATGAGCCATTGGGTGCTGTGTCCCCAGCTTTGTCAGCATGGAGCTGGACTGAAAGGACAACAGCTCCTCAAGGACTGCACAGGGAGCACAGCAAACACAGCAGAGGGGAGGGGGTGGACACAGCCAGACTCTGACGGGTGACTGGGATTATTCAGAGGACACAACTGCACTTCACAGAGAAAATGCACCGTGAGTATTTGCTCAGGACCAGGAAGAATAAGGTGTTTGCACACTTGTACAGCAGGGTAAGAAAAGGCTACTGCTAATGCAGCAGATGTGATTCCCCCTCCCAACAGGGTTGCAGGAGTCCCAAAGACTGAGTGCAAAGCTGCCATGTGTCTTTTCTGTGAGGGCTTCTGCTGAAGTTGATTGTATAGATGGAGACGCTGGGAGCACCAGCTGAGGTATAGACAGAGAAGGTGGGGATCGGAAGGGGCCAGTGAGAAGGCTCTGGTCTAAAGGGCCCCACCTCAGACAGCTCAGAGGAGTCTCAGAAAAGGGCTCACAAGAACAGAACTTAGGCACCTGCCGGAGAGCAGCAGGGCCAGCCAAGAATACCAGATCCCACAGCTCTTCCTCTTCCTCCTTAAAAAGCAATGAAACACATAAAAAAAAAATTCACAAATCATGGCTAACCAACGTGTCAGTTACCAGAGAACAAAAATTTAGAAATCTGGGGGTTTAAGAAGTACAGCAGTCAAAACAACAAGAGAAAAAGGCTTATATTTTTATGATACAGAATTTGAAATTTTGTATATTTAAATACAAACTATCACACATTAGAAATAAAAGGCAGTCATCAAATGGCAAAGGCCAAGAAGGGGCTTAGACCATGCCAGACTGGGTCGGAGCATCCGCTAGCACACGTAAGCTCTGTGGATGGGAGAAAGCCTGGTCAGGGAGCCAAGGAGCTGCCCAGGCTGGGCTGCAGTTCTCACTGGTGAGCAAGAGAGCTGGAATGGTGGCAGTCATCTGGGCTAGACATGGCTGCGGCACCCTTAGCATGGGTGTGGACTGGGTCTGGGGTGTGCCAGACTGGGCTAGGATCCAGCACAGAAGAGACAGAAGAAAGAATCTCAGAATTGGAAGATATTTCCTGTCACCAAGAGGAAACAAACAAAAAGCTGGAAGCAGAGTTGGGTCAAGCTAAAAAAAAGTATTCAAGAATTTAAAGACACTATCAAATATAAGAGTTATGGGAATCCCAGAAGGCGCAGAAAGATAAGCTGGGATTAAGGGTGTATTCAATGAAATAATAAGGGAAAATTTCCCTAATCTGAAGAAAGAATTGGGAAGCAACATCAAGGAGGGGCACAAAACTCCCAACAAGGTTGACCAAAAGCCATCTTCACCATGACACATGATATTGAAGCTCTCTTTAATCAAACATAAACAAAAGACCCTTAAATGTGCAAGTGAAAAAAATCAACTGACTATAAAAAAATGCTAATTAAATTCACAGGAGATATCTCACAGGAAACTACAGGCCAAAAGAGAATGGAGGAACATATTCCAGATTCTAAAAGCAAAAAATTGTGAGCCCAGAATAACACACTCAGCAAAGTTTTCCTTTGTCTTTGAAAATAAAATAAAATTCTTCCAAAGTAAAGAAAAGTTAAAAGAATATGCTTCTTCCAAGCCTGCCCTACAAATAATTAAAGATGTATTCTCAGGCCCAGCGCAGTAGCCTAGTGGCTGAAGTCCTCCCCTTGCATGTACTGGGTGCTGGTTGCAGTCCTGGCGGCCCTGCTTCCCATTCAGCTCCCTGCTTGTGGCCTGGAAATATAGCAGCGGAGGACGGCCCAAAGCCTTGGAACCCTGGCGCCAAAAGGAAACACTTCTTCAAGACCATGGAGACACTGAGTTATGACTGAAAGCCACTCTGAATCACTCACGAAGCTGAGATCTGAATATAACAGAAAACAGTCTCACAGCGCTTGTGGACATGCAGCTAAGATTTGAGATTATGACATCGGGATCAACGTCCAGCTTGCTATTCTGCATCCCAAGAGGACAGTCACGCGGACATGCCGTGCACCTGAGAAGCAGCAGGATTTTCTGTCCCCCCTGTACACACACTCCACTTCTATTTCTGACTCACCAAGCTGAGGAGACAAACGGCAGCAGACTCCAGCTTGTCCTCCCCGCCTACACCTGAGCCTGTTTCTGCATTTACCTGGCGGTGCCTCAGCTTAATCCAGAAGCACCCTGACCAGCAACAACATCATTCTCTGTGTTGTGCCACTGACTTTTCAATAGTGATTTATCTGATGTCGTAAATATTTCCACATTTTCAAAAACCACCTTTTCTCAGACATGATGAGCTTTGAAACAACATGTGCATTAAGATGAGGCCAGTGTGATCCCGGGTGTCTCAGCTGACCAGACCTGTTTACCTGCATCGTCACGGTTTCTGATTTCAAACTCCAGTAACATTGCTTGTTTCTCCTTGATGTCTTGTAGAATGGCGCTGACAGTCTGTTGCTATTGGATAAAATACCGGAAACTTCATCAATAAGCAGCTATGCTCTCTGATCATAGAGAAGCACACAGTAAAGTGGTCAAAAATATGCTGCTGAAAACACATTCAAAACATTTTTTTAAAGGTTGATATGGTATTAATGGTATAAACATTGCAGATCTGAAAAATAAGTGGGCTTAAATATGTCTAGATTTATGCAGTAGATCTGCAGGAAAACAGAATTTAACAACAGAATCAGGCCAGCATGATGGCTCAACCAGCCAACCCTCCACCTTGTAGCACTGATATCCCCTATGGGCACTGATTTAAGTCCTGGCTGCTCCTCTTCCCATCCAGATCCCTGCTTGTAGCCTGGAAAAAGCAGCAGAGGACGGCCCAAAGTTTGGGCTCCTGCACCCATGTAGGTGACCCAGAGGAAGCTCTTGGATCCTGGCTTCAGATGGGCTCAAGTCCTGCTATTGCAGCCATTTGGGGAGTGAACCAACAGATGGAAGACCTCTTTCTCTGCCTGTCCTTCTCTCTGTAAATCTGCCTTTCCAATAAAAATAAATAAATCTTAAAAAAGAAAACAGCAGCAGCTATAAAAGTTCAACAATTTCTTATTTTAAAAAAAAATTTTACTGGAAAGGCAGATCAGATTTACAGAGATACATACATACATATATAGATATATTATATCTATACATATATCTATACATATATCTATATATATCTATACATATATATCTATATATATCTATACATATCTATATATATACATATATCTATACATATATCTATATATATCTATATATCTATATATATGTATGTATCTTCCAGCTGCTGGTTCACTACACAAGTGGCCACAGTGCTAAAGCTAAACAGATCCGAAGTCAAGAGCAAGGAGCTTCTTCTGGGTCTCCCATACAGGTGTAGGGTCCCAAGGCTTTGGGCTGTCCTCGATTGCTTTCCCAGGCTACAAGCAGGAAGCTGGCTGGGAAGTGGAACAGCTGAGAAAACCCAGCACCCATATGAGATCCCAGTGTGTAGAAGGTGAGAATTTTGCCACTGAGCCATTGTGCTGTGCCCCCCTACTAACTTCTATTAAAACTACAGGCATAGGAGAAAAAATATGCCACTCGGCATGTAATATTCAAACATTCACATATGTCCAACAAGTTGGTACTTGGGCATTATAGCATTAGAATCTCATACACGGCCTCAGAAATAAAACACACAGGAGACTTAACCATAGATTCCTGACTTTGCCTGCACAGTTTGCTGCTTGGAAGGTCTGCCTGGGTTAAACCTGACACCATCTCTTCCCACGTAGGGACCATGCTGGCACAAGGGGGACCTCAGTAACTGTTGTTTATTATTATCACTATCAGGTTAAATCCATCTACACACAAAACTTCTGACTAATCCATACTGGTTTCTCTCTTCTCTGAGCTAAATCAGGGTTTCAGAGTTGCACAAATCCACATTAGCATGTGTGGTATCTTATGTGTTGTTCCATCAAGGGACAGATGCCCTGTGGGCAGGATTCTATCTGTGTGTACCCATGTGGCTGGGCACAGAGGGGCCGCTCCATAAATGGTGACCCTTGTGCTGACACAGTCTATCCTCTCCTATGTTCTCCACACACAGGGACTCTCAGCACGTGTAGGTCCTCCAAGCCTTCATGTTCACATATGGAAAATGTACATCATAAAAATCACCTACTAGTTTGGCAAAGCAGTCCTACTGCCGTCATTTATTGAATGCATCAAAATGAAACTATAAAACTTAGATATTCAAAGCAACCAAAAACCCCCAAACTTGTTGACATTGAAAGGTTTATGGCTATAAAAAAGAACTAAAGCATTAAACGTGTTCACAAGTGAAGCATCTACGTAGGTTAGGCAGATAAAGGAACATCTTTCTGTATTGCTCATACTAGCAGAGTACTACTCAAAATGACATTTTATTGAGAAGGCTATCTTGTGTAACAAGCATGTCTGCTTTATCAAACTGAGAGCTATTTTATCCATCAAGATGCATGTTACAGAGCACTTGTGATGTTATTGTTGTACAAGTCTACTTTTACATGGTGAGTTCCACAGCAAATTGTCATTACTGACTGCAGGACCCAGGACAGGTAGACTGGAGTCTTTTCCTGGTCAGGACAGGGAAGGAGTGGAGACTGTATCAAACAGCAGTGTCTATGGGAAAAGACATAGCCAAGCAACCAAACTGACGCCCAGCTCTACACTCTACAGGGCAAAGGTTCTGTCTCTGTTCTGCTAAGCCATCTTATCAGCATGTCCTTGAAATGGAAACACTCGCCAGAGGCCAACAGTAGAACTATGTGTTCACTCACCAATGGAAGATTTTCCCTGGATTCTCCTTGGTTTGCAGGGCAAGGCGGGTCAACAGTGTGGTCATCACAGAAACAGGCTTTATTCTTTCTTGATCGAATACTAGGGGTTTTTGCTTTCAGAAAGAAGAAAGTGAATGGTGACCAGGACAGGAAGCATACACTACAGCCACGGTTTTAGGACCTCAGTGCTAAGGAGCATTGCTTTACTGTCAGATAAGCGTGATGAGGGGTGGACATCTAGTGTAAGAGTCCCAGCTCTGCTCCCAATTTCAGCATCCATGCTAAGACACACCCTGGGAGGTAGGTGATGGCTCAGGTATGTAGGAGACCCAGGCTCAGTCCTCGGTCCTAACTCCTGGGCCCTTGTCACCCACACGGGAGACCCAGGCTGAGTCCTTGGCACTAACTCCTGGGTCCTTGTCACCCACACAGGAGACCCAGGCTGAATCCTTGGCACTAACTCCTGGTTCCCTTTACCCACACGGGAGACCCAGGCTGAGTCCTTGGCACTAACTCCTGGTTCCTTGTCACCCACACAGGAGACCCAGGCTGAGTCCTCGGCACTAACTCCTGGTTCCTCGTCACCCACACAGGAGACCCAGGCTGAGTCCTCGGCACTAACTCCTGGGTCCTTGTCACCTACACGGGAGACCCAGGCTGAGTCCTCAGCACTAACTTGTGCTGTTGCAGGCACTTCGGGATCTCTTTGTCTGGCCTTCACGTAAACTTCTGAAGAACATAAAGAACGCTGATACACATACCTGTGCTTGCTACATTGCTCTCATTTCTACTCTCGGACTCAACAGCACCATACGCTTTCAGCAGCTCTCTCATTCTTTCATCTTGCACTTCATCTAAAGCTGTCTTCTGCTGCTGATGTTTCTGATTCGGGTCTGCTCCGTGTTGCAGTAGAATCTCAGCAGCCTATAAGATATTCTTTCAGAGCTGTTTCTACAAACACCTGATTTCCTCACAACACTACCAAGCATTACAAGCTATCCAGGAAAAAAGATCAGAGGCCCAATATGGTGGTTCAACAGTCAAATCCTTGCCTTGCATGTGCCAAGATCCCATGTGGGCACTGGTTCGTATTCCAGCTCCTTCATTTCCCATCCAGCTTCCTGCTTGTGGCCTGGGGGTATAGCAGTGGAAGACAGCCCAAGTCCTTGGGATCCTGCACCCATATGGGAGACCCACAGCAGGCTCCAGGCTCCTGGCTTCAGAATAGCTCAGCTCTAGTTGTTGGGGTCATTTGGGGAGTGAATCAGTGAATAGATGATCTTTCTGTCTCTCCCTATCTCTGTAAATCTGACCTAATTTCCAGTAAAAACATAAATCTTTTTTTTAAAGGATTTATTTTATTTTTATTGGAAAGGCGGATATACAGAGAGGAGAGACAGAGAGGAAGATCTTCCGACCGATGATTCACTCCCCAAATGAGCGCAACGGCCAATGTTATGCCGATCCAAAGCCAGGAGCCTCTTCCAGGTCTCCCACGCTGGTGCAGGTTCCCAAAGCTTTGGGCCGTCCTCAACTGCTTTCCCGGGCCACAGGCAGGGAGCTGGAAGGGAAGCGGGGCTGCCAGGATAGAACTGGCGCCCATATGGGATTCCGGGCGTGCAAGGCGAGGACCTTAACCACTTGCGCCACTGCGCCGGGCCCTATAAACATAAATCTTTAAAAAAAAAGGATTTCAGACTTTGGTTAACAAATGCTTTTATGAAACATTATGGCAGATGTAAACGACCCACTGATTTGCTGTGACCGTACTCCTAGTAGAACCACTGGTGAATACAGGACGTGTGACAGGCTGCTGCTCTGACTGCATAGTTGGAAGGTACAGGTAGGTGGGTCAATTCTAGATTAGCTCTGTCTGCAGAACTTTCTATAGCAATGAAATGTTCTATCTGTTCTCTATAATAAGATAGCCACACGTGGTTACTAAGCATTTTAAGTGCAGCTAATGTGACTAAAGAGGTAAATTTTCATTAACTAAACATTATTATGTAGTGTTTAATTAATGAAGCATTTAATTAATTAAACATTTAAATAACTACATGTTGGTAGTTGCTACCAGATTTGACAACACAAGTCTAGATGCTGCACAGATACAGTCGTTTGCATTCAAATGCAGAATCGCTGAAGGACTGGTCCTCTTTAACATAGCCACCTGTATGTCCTTGAGCCATTGAGTGCACACTGAAAGGGGCAGAGGCTGCTTTAGGAACATGGCACATTATAAACTGTACAGTGAATTGGCAAACACATGGGTGAATCAAATCCTTTTTGGACTATACTCAAGTACGCACTATTTGCCAAGGAGGCTTATGAACCAGCCTAGGAGCTTGAAGCTACTCAAACTGTCTCAGAAATCACCAGAAAAGGAAATGGAGGTCAAGGAGGTTGTCACACTTTTGGAGAAAAGAAAGCATCTAATACAAATAAGGTTGCTCTGAGTATTTCAAGCTTGCAATTCATCAAAATTAACTATTACAAACTACAATGGTAGAAGTCAACAGTTAAAAAAAAAACCTAAAACAACAGTGATTGTACCTGCAAATAGCAAGCAATGGCTCAGGATTTTGTTGACAAGGGAGAAAATACTATGTGTAACATGTTTTAAACCTTTCTCCTTGTATCCAGTGATGGAGATGCACAGTAGTTTAGAAGCAAATGGGCCAGGGAAAATGACTAGCAAGGCACCTTAGCTCTTCTGGTTTCCACTGTAGCACAGTATAAGGAAGACAACCTTTCTTTAGAGTTGAGCGTTCCAAGTTCACCTGTTGTTTACCACTTACATCCCTCAGCAACCTTGCATTTTATCGCCTGTGAGAACTCAGTGTGAGCTCTTCGTAAGTTACCTATTGTGCGGCAGGCTCTCAACAACCCAGTCCTCTAACACTCCCTCCCTCCACTACTCGCCTTTTTTTTGGATTGGTGAGAAGACCAACTGTGGTACCTACCAAGACATCAAATGGCATGAATATCTCCTGCAAACAGACATCTGAAGAACTCTGGAAAAGTTTCTGTCCTAGTTTCTGTCTCACTGATGAGGAAAGCTACTTAACACAGCTACTTAAACACAGAGGTTCTTTAGACTATTTCTAAGTCTTAATCAACAGATACTCATCTTCAACTTTCTTTGGGGAGACAAACTTGTTTTTGGAAGGAGAAGCTTTTCTAGACTCTTAAAACTTTATATCATACTAACACCTATTCTGCCAGTGTGTTAAAATGGGGACTTTCTATACATTGCCTTTATTTTATTCACATGGTTCCTTTCATATGCTAGTTTTGAAGACATAAAGACTTTATCTCAGATAATGGAACCCTGAGCAGCTGGTTTTTGTTTGTTTGTTTGTTTGTTTGTTTGTTTGTTTCCAATAATACTCGCTGACAGGGAAGAGTTTGAGAAAACAACAGCCAGGTGGTAAGGAATTAACCAGGAAAGGTTGACTGGTAAAGTTGGAAGAGGGCTCCAGGCAGCTTGGCAAAGAATAAGTAACTAAGAAATAAGGCCCTTCGCGGTTTGAGAAAGCAAAACCAAGCAGTGCAGTGAAGGAGTCACTAGCACCACTGAGACTTGGAAATGGCCACTGAAGTAATCACTATCACCATCACTCGTGCAAAGTCCGCAAGCCATGCTTACCACCAACAGGACAGAAAGACAGTGAAAGTGGGCATCCCCATCAGACGCCAAACTGCCCTTGCCATCAATACTTAGAAACCTCCCCAAGAAGCCACTGAACTTATCTGGACAATAAGATGCTGGACTTTATGCTAGGTATATGCTTGCAATGAAGGAATCTCAACTGAACTTGAACTGTGGTTATGCAGCAAGGTGGAGGAATCCACCATGGAGGGAAGGTAGTGGGAGGGGTGGGGGGAATCCCAGTGCCTATAAAACTGTATCACATAATACAATGTTAACAACAATTTAAAAAAAAAAAAAAGACTTAGAAACCGCCCTCCATAACCAAACACCCCTCCTGCCTCTGCAGTCTGTCCCCTCCCCAAATCTTTCCGCCCTGGCAACCCTGAATTCTGACATCTATGAAACTCTGAATTCTGACATCTATGAAATTTTGCCCACAAGCCTATGAAACTGTGTCACATAATGCAATGTAATTAATAAAATACATATATATTAAAAAAAGAATTCAAAAAAAATTTTTTAAAAAGAAATTTTGCCCACAAGGAATCACCCATGCTCTTTCTCAGATCAAGAAGTTTATCTTCTTATTTTTGAGTAAGCTTTGGCAGCTTCTGTCAAGAAATTTGTGATCACTGATTCAAGTTGTTCAATTTATAGACACAGATTATAATAATAATCCCATATTAACCTCAGAAGGTCTGCATGACACATGGTGATATTTCCTCTTTGCTAATAATAGTTTAATATGGTTTTGGATTAAGATATGGCTAGAGGCCTAATAATTTTAATATTTTCAAAGATTAATTTTTGTCTGTCAAATTTTTCTACTGTTCAGTGCTTCACTGATTTCTGTTCTCTTTGCTTTTTATGGTTTTTTTTTTTCTGAGTTTGTTAAGGAGGAATCTGATGTCACTGAAATTTTTGTAGCATAAGCGTTTCAAACTTTAAGTTTTCATCTAAGTACTGCCTTAGCTTCAAGTTATTTATTTTTATGTACTGTGTTCTTAATTTATTCCCAAATATTCCCAATTTCCCTGTGATTGCTGTTGATACCCATGAGTTATTTAGTAGTATACAGTTTAATTTCTAAATATTTGGGAATGTTATGGACATTTTTGGTTACTGATTAGTAGTTACATTCCATTTTGGCTAGAGAATATATTTTATATGATTTTAAGTCTCTTACATAGATTCAAACTAGCTTTACAGTCCAGCATACGATCTGTATTTTCAAGTATCCAATGAGCACTTGAAAGGAATGTGTGAAGCTGCTGTTGGCCTCTTCATTAAATGTGAAGTAGGTAACATGGCTGAGGATGCTGCCCAAGGCTTCAGTACCCTAAATGTGTACTTTTCTCATCATTTATTAAAAGTGTGATGTTCAGCTAGGATTGTGACGATGTTCATTTTCATTTCAATTCTGTGCTTTTTGTCTCTTGTGTAACATTTTCAGGGTTCAACAGTGTTAGATCACTCGGTTAGCACTTTGTGTTTTAGAATTTGATAACAGTCCACTAAAAGATACCACATTTGCTCATTCACTAACTGATGGATCAAAAGCTGGGATGGTTTCTCTTTTTGAGGATGATGAACATGGCGCTCTGGGCACTCGCATCCATCCTCCCTACATGTGCTCTGAACCCCCTCGGTTATACAGAGGAGGAGACTACAAGGCACTTTAAGGAGCTGTTTGGCAGGTGCACGACTTTATGCTTCCATCAGCAATGGAAGACGGTTCCAATTTCTTCATGTCTTTATCAATATTTGTTTCATTTCTGAAATATTTGGTGGGGGAGAGAGAGAATAATATATTGACACATTTTCGACTGTGTTGTCCTATCTCAAGACAAAGAAATAGGAACACAAGAGGAAAAGTGAGCTATAAATAAAATGATACAATGATAGAAGAACTACCACAACTGCCACAGAGACAAAGCTAAAGAGGACATGAGGAAAGGCAGGAAAGACACTGGCTTTAAATCAGAGTCAAAGTTGTTACACTGTCATCCAAAACACCACCTTTGTGCAAACAGAACCTTTCTCCTTCAAACAAACGTAATGAAGATATGGCAAGTTAATGCAAAATCCACTTGGTTTCTGTCACTATCTAGGTGAAGGACATAACTGACCCTTGGGGAACAAGGGTCAGCAGCCACAACCCACATGCCCATCCCAGCCTCTGCTTGGTTCTGTGAATGAGCTTCCTGTGGTCCAGCCACACCCACTCACTGGCTTATCTCCACAGCTGCTGCTGTCACCATGAACTCCGTGCAGCTAGAAACCTGGGTGTTCACCATGAGTCCTTCACAGGAACCTGCACCACCTACTCCAGGCAGGGCTGGTCCGAGGAGTCACCACACACTGCACTTAGCTGGGGGGCACATGAAGTGTGGCTGAGGCATCCAAGGGACTGTAGCTTTTAAAGTTACAGGGCAGATGTGCCTGGTGGCCACAGTGCAGGATAGCACAGCCCCAGACTGAATTCTTCATTTCAGACACACACATTCCTTTCCCAAGCAGCAGAATCAGCTTTAGAATCCGAGTTTGCCAAAACCACTCATGTTGGACCCACACCTGGCTCCTCTGTGCACTTCCTCTGGCTAATCTTTAGCTTTCAGCACTTATTTTTTTTTTTTTTAACAGAGAACCCTCTGTATCTAACTACTACTTCCTAAGCTCCCAGAAGTTAACCCAGTTTCCATCATGAAAGTCAGAGTCTTCAAATCAGCAGAGTCTCTACGTGTAAAATGTAATCCATCTGTGTGTGGCCACGCTGGGACTGCTGGCCTCTTCACTGCCTCACTCATAGTGCAGAAGTAAAAAAAACAAAACACATTTCATATAATGCCAAAGTAAGACAGGAAAGGCGCAGCCTGATTGAAGTCATATGGTGGAACCACAAGCAGGAGCTCCGGGGGCTCCTGCAGAGGCACCACTGGTACCATATCAGCCCAGCTGTTAACCTCAGATCAACCACAGGGTTCTGACCTGGAAGGGTCATGGGAAGGCCTGAGGAAAAACTCACAAAACTTCCCCAAGTGTGTGAAGCCCCTCAAATGTGGAGGTGACACTGGTGACCCCCAGCTCAAGCACATGAGAGAACTAAAGTTTTAGTTTGCTTTATGTGGTATTTTCCAGGATAATCGTTGAGTTTTCCCACTATGAAATTTTGACCTTTATTTTCCTGTACAGATAATAATAATAATAATTCTTTGTTTTATTCCATCTTAGAATCCTAAATATGTAAAACTCTATATATTCTTTTATTTATTTATTTATGTTTACTTAACTGTCTTAAAGGCCAAAGAGGTTCTTTTGATCAAAAGAAGACATTATCCTTTGTGTCCTGGCATCACTGCTTCTTAAAAGTAAGGGGATTTTTAAAAATTATTTGAGATATAGATAGAGCTACCACCAGATTCGCTCCCCAAATGTCCATAATGGCTTGGACCAGACCAGGCTGGAGTTGAGAGCTAGGAACTCAAGCCAAGCCTGTCAAGTTGGTGATAGGGACCCAGCTGCTCCTTCCCATGATCTGCAAAGCCAGGGAGCTAGAGCCAGTAGTCAAAGTCAGGCCTTCCACTGTGAGCACTGGCCAAAGGCCTGCCCCCACCCTATGCTGTTCTCAAGTCTGATCCCATGTCCTAAGTTCAGTGAACTCAGCCCTTCATGGAACTACATTTTGCAGAAAACAGCAAGAAAATGCTTTTGTAAAACTAAGTAACAATCACCAGGTCTAAAGCTATAGAAACAGAAAAAGGTATATATGATGTCTACGGCTGTACCACCCTGAAGGCGCCCGATCTCATCTGATCTCGGAAGCTAAGCAGGGTCGGGCCTGGTTAGTACTTGTATGGGAGAAAAAGATACATATGAGAGAGAGTCGAAGAATTATTTATATGTACCTTGATTTTATAGAGTGTCAGTGGTTTCTTCAATGTTTTCTGAACTAATAACTATTCCTTAAGTCTATATTGCTAAGTAGTAACAACAGCAGTTTTCTTCCAAGAACTGTCAAACCAAAAGGTGGGTTTAAAATCTAAAAAGTCCTAAGGTCCAAAGATGACATTCAGCATCACTTTACTGTGACCCTGCGAGAGTTGTCTAGTGATACCTTCATCATGAGCCTGATCAAAGACAGAGCAAAGCAGAAAGCTACAACCCTCCACGAAACAAGTGATTCACTTTTACCCCAAACCCACAGAGAAATCTGGAGTAAAAATAAATAAATAAATAAATAAAAGAAAAGCAAGAGAAAAAAGTCTATGGTGAGCACCCAGCCTGGTGGTCAAGACAAACTTCCTGCCAGTGCCAGGCCTGGGAAGCAGCAGGCGGTGGCTCAAGTACCTGGATTCCTGCCCTCCTGCGAAAGTGGCTTTCATGAGAATGTGGAAAAAGTCATATGTTAATCACTATAATTAGACTAAAACAGCATGTCAATTTAGACAATTATAAAGGAGATGTATCAGGACTGCAGAATGTTTGCTCTTCATTCATTTAAAAATAAGTCTTAAAGATGTATTTATTTGGGCCCGGTGTGCTGGCGCAAGTGGTTAAGGTCCTCGCCTTGCACGCCCGGGATCCCATATGGGCGCTGGTTCTAATCCCGGCAGCCCCGCTTCCCTTCCAGCTCCCTGCCTGTGGCCCGGGAAAGCAGTCGAGGACGGCCCAAAGCTTTGGGACCCTGCACCCGTGTGGGAGACCTGGAAGAGGCTCCTGGCTTTGGATCGGCATAGCATCGGCCCGTTGCGCTCACTTGGGGAGTGAATCATCGGATGGAAGATCTTTCTCTCTGTCTCTCCTCTCTGTATATCCACCTTTCCAATAAAAAAATAATAAAAAATAAATCTTTTTTAAAAAAGATGTATTTATTTATTTGAAATTCAAAATAAATTTTTTTACAAAGAGAAAGCAGAAAAGATAGAATCTTTCACCCACTCCCCAGATGTCAACATAAGCCAATGCTGAAGCAGGCCAGGGCCAGCAGCTCTCAGGTGGGAGTGTGATAATGAAAAATCATTAAAACACATTCTAATTTCCCATATGCAATAAAATACATTCTTTTATAATTTAAGCCCATTTTTAAATCATTCGTTTTAAGGAATAACATTAGTTTGCTAAAACAACTAATTTTCTTTACTCATTTTCTTAACAAAAGTTAATAGGAACCCAACCTGATTTGCACTGTACCTTTAAGTGATTGTTTGCAACAGCATCGTGTAAGGGCAGAATTCCATCCATATTTCCACAATTAACATGAGCACCAGCATTTAACAACTCAGTAATTACATCACTGCACCCTGTATTTGATGCCTCATGAAGTGGTGTCCAACCTAGAATGGAACAAGAGCAATAAACAAGCTGCCTCAGCAATGCATAACTGGTGAACTACCGGGACCACTTGAGCAAGGATCTCAGAGCATGCCCTACATCCGGGAACTGGGGTGGGTGGGAGACTGGGTGGGGCCTTTCCTCAATATTCCCTTTAGCCCTTGTAAGTTTTTACCCTAATCAACAATGTAAAGATTACCAAAATATATGTTAAAAAAATTAACAAGAGCAACAACAACAACAACAACAACAAAAACAAGCTGCCTCTCACCCCCTCAAGATCCCAGGAATGTCCTCATTGCTAAGGGTTTTGTGTATTAATGAAATACATGTCTACATTGATTCCTATGTATGCTAAATACTGGACAAGAAGCCGTACTAAAAACTGTGATCTTAAAGTGTACACATAATTGATCTCAACACATACAATATTTGTAAAAGTGACAGAACAGAAAGCCTACAAAACACAAAGTGCAACAGGATCGAGCAGAATACTAATCATTTCCATATGTTTTAACTCTGATATTCAAATATCTGCACTGTCACATTTCTCTTTAAAATGACGCTTGACCAAGTCAATGGTTGAGCTGCAGTCTTGAATTCTCCAGGAAAGATGACTGGGTATAAGCAAAATGTTGAGATCAATTTTGGAAGTTTTGGATAGAAATAAGAAACAAAAAAGGGAGGAAGAGAGATGGGAATGTTTTGCATTCTCCCCAAAGTCAGGGACTGAAATCAGACTTGCAGAGTTAGTAATCACTAGTACTCTCAGTTCTGCAGATCACATGGCCATTTCCAAATGGGTGTTTAAGACTGTTCAGAAGGAGGAATTCTTACTATTCAACTAAACAGTAACACAGTGTAGAAGACTGCAGGGCTGTCAGTCACAGACCAGTCAAGGTCAAAACTGGGGGAGTGGACCTCAAAACGAAAACCACAACATCAATAAGCCCAAGGGACTCAGACCTGCATAGTCTTGTAGATTCACATCTGCTCCAGAGTTGATGAGAGCTTTCACCAGGGACACGTTCCCCCTCTTGGCAGCCGCATGCAGCCGACTCTCCCCTCGCGCATTCCTCTTATTGATCACAGATGCTTTCTTTTCTGCAAATATGCCCAGAAAAACCTGAGGAGCCTCTTCTGCCAAACGCTGGCTGTTAGAAAAAAGCTTACAAAATACACAACTTCTTCAGAAATATGCAACAGTGAATATTGTAGTGACTTTTTAAATGTGACCTGTGAAGAAATGAGTGAGCATCTGAGCGTGCTCTGCATTCATTCCAACAACTGCTTAGGCAAACTCAGCTTCTTACACTAACGTGATTCTACGTTCAGCTCACTCTCAGCACTGGACATGATCCAATATAAAATCCTATTTTTACAATTATGATGTATGTCAGTGGGTATGTTCCCATCACACAAGACGCCAAGTATCAATTATGGACTTCTGGGGCTTTCCTGTCTTTTCAGAAAAACTAAAGTACAATATCTCTGCTCAAAGATTTAAAAAATATTTTCCTTACAGTGTAGACACTTAATATGGAAGTGAAAACAATGGACTGACCCTATGTGTTTTCCTATTTGCTACCCCAACCAGATCACAATGACAAGGTATTCTGAAAGAACCCTACAGGGAAAGGAGGAGGAGAGACGACAGAAGACAGAGATTGAGACAACTGAAGAGCTGCTGGCACAGACAGGCACTGTCCTTGGCAGAGTGTGTCAACGTGCCAGGCCAACCACCAGCAATGGACCAGCAAGGAAGAATCCAAATGCCATGCATGCACCAAGAGCCACGGAAGGCCAAATGCACACACCAACCTGGTGCTCCAGGTGCCCTCCCCACCCTGACCTGACAACTACTCCCCAAGTCCCAGGTCCCACTAAAGCCAGGAGCCCAGACAGGACTGCAGCTCAGGCAGACAGGGATGCCAGCAAGCAGGATGGGGGTGACAGAATAGCAGAGTCTGTCCACTCTGCTAGCAGGGCCAGCATCCCAGGGAGGCCGGTCAGGCATGAAGACTCAGCGGCCCAGGCAAACCCTGCTCTGGAACGAAGATTTCTCCTCCTGACACCTGCCCTCTGGTATCAACAGTGAAGTCTAAGACCAAATCCCTCCTCTTGCATCACTGGTTTCCACTCTGGGGCACTACACTGCTTCATGTTGGTTAGGTTCCTCTCTGCCTGCCTGCAGACCAGTCCTTGCCCTAAGGCACTGCTATATGGTTAGGCCCCTCTCTGCCCTGCCTGCAGATCGGTTCCATGCCTGAAGGTCTGAAGGAAGAAGCCGGCACACTGGAGAGGCCCGAGCAGCAGAAAACAGTGCACACTCGGTGGGGAGCGAGAAAGTACTGGAATATCGTAGAGCACCTGAGATGGCTGGCCCACAGATGGGGCCCCCAGACGGAATCTTTACTGTACATGGCACTAATGTTCTTGCCTTGGTCCTAGTGTGTTTACAGAAAAGAAGGTATCTATGGCCATACCAACCTGAACACACCTCATGTTGTCTGATTTTGGAAAAAAAAAGGCAACCATGTGACAAATACTCTGAGCAAAAATTCAAGAATTACTCTATAATCATTAGCCCTGACAGTTTCTAGCTGAAATCTGGTGGAAACTTGGAAGAAGTGCACTCACACTGACCATGTCCACTGTGTGTTGGAGTCAGAGCCACAGCTAGCTACTAAGAATGACACAGCTGAGAATAGCAGGAGTGGGCACTGTGGTGCAGCACGCTAGTAGCCATGTGGGACTCCTGCATCCCATACTATGGTGCCTAGGACCAAGTGCCACCTCCACCTTTAGATCCAGCTTTACTAATGCAACTGGGGGCAGCACACAGTGGCTTAGGCACTTGAGCCCCTCGTGCCCGCACAGCAGACCTGGACAGTTCTGGCTCCTGGCTTTGGCCTGGCCCAGTCCCAGCTGCTGTCGACTTTTGGGAAACAAAGGAACGAACGGAATTTCTCTGTGTGTCTCTCTTGTTCCTTTGTTGTTCTTTCAATAAATAAAATGAATAGCTAAACAGTAAAAAGGGAAATAAAACTTACATTCCTTTGCCTGTGACTCATTTTTTCCCTCTCTGGAAACCTTTAGGATTTCCTCTTTATAGCTGTTCAGAACTTGCACAGGCAGGTGTGTTGTTCCTGTTCTAGACACCCAGTAGGCCTTTTAAAACTGAAACACCCGGGCCCGGCGCGGTGGCGCAGTGGTTAAGGTCCTCGCCTTGCACGCCCGGGATCCCATGTGGGCGCCTGTTCTATCCCGGCAGCCCCGCTTCCCTTCCAGCTCCCTGCTTGTGGCCTGGGAAAGTAGCAGAGGACGGCCCAAAGCTTTGGGACCCTGCACCCGTGTGGGAGACCCGGAAGAGGCTCCTGGCTTCGGATCAGCATAGTATCGGCCCGTTGCGCTCACTTGGGGAGTGAATCATTGAACAAAAGATCTTCCTCTCTGTCTCTCCTCTCTGTATATCCGCCTTTCCAATTAAAAAAAAATAATAAAAATAAATCTTTAAAAAAAAAAAAACTGAAACACCCATTTGTTCCACTATTTCCTTGATGATTGCTTCATGTTAAACATGCTCTCTGGATGTTCTGGAGTGACCTTTTAATCTTTTTTTCTTCTCCCTCTCTCTCTTTCTGTGTGTCTGTGTGTGTCGGTCTGTCCGTATGTGTGTTCTTTAGAGGAAACAATGTTTTACTTTCCATACCTGCTCTCCCCACTGGCTCACGCCCTAAGCAGCTACAACAATCAGGGCTGCAGCAGGCTGCAGCTGGGATCCAGTGACACGGTCCAGGTATACCATGTGAAAGGGAGCCACCAACACCTACTCCCCGCACTGGAACGGAAACCAACAGGCCGCTATGGGATGCAGGCACACCAAGCACCCGTTTGGCAGGCTGTGCCCCTATGCCTGTCCCATCCCAAAGCTCGCTGTGGCTCTCTGGCTTTCCTTTTTTTCTATGCCTGTTTTCCCTTAATTTCAGATATTTCTGGATTCTGAAATTATTTCAAATAAAGGGGAAATAAGTCAATATATTTCTACAAGAACAACAGGAATGCATTCTCTCGCAATCTGGACACCACAGGTTCAAATTAGCGCCACAGGTATATTTCCTCCGGCAGCTGCAAGGGAGGCTGTCACTCCCTGGCCTGTGGCCACCTCATTCCTTTGCTTCCTCTCCTGTGGGACTCAACACTCCTTATCTTTATCTTAACCCAGGATGGCTTCCTCCTCTCAGAGTCCTCCACTTGACTGCACACAGACTCTTTATGTTAGGTAAGAACCACACGATCCAGGGACCTGGAAATGGATATGCTGCTTGAATCACTGTCCGAGCCACCAGGGGATGTGTAGGAAGGGCCCTGAAGGAAGGGCCACAGGAAATGCCTTTCTACCTCTTAGTGACTAGGCAAATCCAACAGAGGGTGTTTGCTGTCTCTAGGTTACCTAATTCTGAACTACCAAAGTGCTAGCCTGTGCACGTTGCCAAACACACAGAACTCATTCCTCTCACAAGCACATGTAGCCAATGGCTATGCTTCCTTAATTTCCCTTATTTTAAAAGGACCAAGTGGGTTGTCTAAGGGTTTGACACAGTTTCCCTTACTGTCCCCACTGAGCGTCCTTGCTGTCTGCTGTTTACCTTCTTTCCTCTGACATAACAAATGAGAAGTGACAGGCTGGCACATGCAAGGGCACACTTGAGGACTAAAGGGCTCTCAGGTGGTACCTTAATAACAAACAGGGCTGAAGGAATCTTATCACTTAGTAAATGCCTGAAAAACAGGGCTGACATTGTGATCGCAGGCTCTGCTAGTAATGCTTGTGCTCTGTATGAGTGCTGGGTTGTGTTTCTTCTGCTCCACTTCCAACCCAGCTCCCTGCTAACAGCCTGGGAAAAGCAGGGAAAGATGGTCGAGTGTCTGGGCCCCAGGTAAGATTCCTGGCTTGCGCCTGCTCAGTTATGGCTATGCGGCAATCTTGAGGAAAAACCAGAGGATGGCTGATCTCTATCTCTCTGAAGCTCTAACTTTCAATTAAACCTTTAAAAAGAAAAAACAAAACCTAGCATATAAGAAGGTTTATAAATGCCTGAAGCAGAGTGTGTTGCTGGGCCAGATTATGTAAAGTTTCACCTACACAATCATGCAAATACAAACCTTGGTTGCAGGTAATTTTCAAAAATTTTTGTCTTGTTCTGGAATTCTTAAGTTTCCTATGCTCCCGGCTATTGGTAGGCATGTGTGTTTCTGAATTGGCTTTTTCCTTTTTCTTCTTACAATTTTTTATGACACTTTCATCTCCATTATTAGTTAATTTCCCACCTGAAACACAAGCATATTACAACACCAATTTTCCTTCTTTTATGTGACTAGAAAAGAAAATCCATACATGTGTTTACATTGCAAAATGGATTACATAAGAGAATAGAAGTCTTTAAAATGTTTTTATATCAACATACACAAAACCTGCTGGTTGCAATCCTTTTTAAAACATATTTATCTTATTTTATTTATTTTTCAAAGATTTATTTATTATTTTTATTGCAAAATCAGATATATAGAGAGGAGGAGAGACAGAGAGGAAGATCTTCTGTTCGATGATTCATTCCCCAAGTGGCCGCAATGGCCAAGGCTGAGTCAATCTGAAACCAGGTGCCATGAGCTCTTCTGGGTCTCCCATGCAAGTGCAGGGTCCCAAGGTTTTGGCCCGCCCTTGACTGCTTTTCCAGAATATAGGTAGGGAGCTAGATGGGAAGCAGGGCTGCTGGGATTAGAACTGACACACATATGGGATCCCGGCAAGTTCAAGGCGAGGACTTTAGCTGCTAGGCCACCATGCTGGGGAAAAAATATTTATGTATTTTAAAAGCAGAGTCCTGGCTGTTCTACTTCTGATCTGGCTCCCTGCAAATATACTTGGGAAAGCTGTGGAAGATGGTCCAAGTGCTTAAACCCTACATCTTCATGGGAGATCTGGATGAAGCTCCTGGCTCCTGTTGCTGCCTCTTGGGGAGTGAGTCAGTGGAAGGAAGATCTCTCTCTCTCTCTTTCTAATTCAGTCTTCCAAATAAGTGAATAAATCTTTTTTAAAAAAAGACACTATTGTACTAATTCATTGCCCATATGTCCTTGTTCTTCTAAGTTTAGGTTTGGAGGGGTAAAATGCATACATTTCTACGAAATAAGTAAATCTACAGGAAATGTGTACAAATTAAGCAAGGCTATTAATACCTGGTATGTGAAAATTTTCCTTCTGTTCTCTTGGGCTAAGTTGCGGGACATGAGTCAATTCTTCATTCACATCGTCATTTGAATGGAAATCTGTACCACATATGGTCTCATTTTCTAGAAGACCTGGTCTCGTTCTTTCAACTTCAGTTGTTCCTATTACTTGAGAAGAAATGACTCCAGAAAAAGGCCCACTTGAAGAACCTGCATTTTGACCACTGTCAGTGTGATTTCTCTGAGCATCCTGATTGTTTTCTACCTTTTCCACAAGTGTAATTGCCTGACTCGTTAGAAGGTCTGGTGTTCCTTGGCTGTGGTATGGAGGTTCTCGGAATGGCTCCACGTGACTGACCACCTCTGAAACGTCATCTGTTCCTACACAAGGTGCGCATTCTTGCTCAGGATTGTTGTATGAGTGATCAAGAGAAATTCTATGATTTGCAATATATTGCCCAGAAATGACTGTAATATCTGAATCAGAAAAATCAACAGCTTCCTGTGTTGGAAGTGTGATTGGACTGTCTGTGTTTAATTCATTTCCCTGTGAAAAATTGTCTGCAGAAGGTAGAGGTGGTTGAAAATCCAATTCTTCTCTATTTGTTCTAGTCTTACATGTATACTGGCTTTTTCCATCTGTAGAACATTTGTTTCCAGCTGTCTTCAGAGTCTTCTCTGAGTTGCAGTTATCACTGCCAACAGCACCAGCACCATCATCAAAAGTTCCCTTTATAAAGGATAAGAAGGAACTTTCCCACCTGTTAAGGCTCGCATTCCTGTGACCTGAGTTCTCCTTTCCTTGAGTCTGAGAAGGGCTACTGTGCTGCTCTTGGTGAGCAGGTGGCTGTGGATCTATATCAACAAATGGTAGCTCAATTTCTCTATCTAGTACAAGTGCTGAGAAAGAAACAGCTACAGTTTGGTCAATGGACCTTAAATCCAAGAGCTGGGTTTCTTGACTATTTGGTAAATCCAGGTTCTGGGTGTGTGTCTCTTTTGAAAAGGAGTCAGCTTCCATATTGCTACCTACGCCAGTTTTCAGGTGTGACGCTGCTGAAATGGAAGGTTCTGGTAGCTCTTCCGGAAGGCAGAAAGGGCCCGCATGGCTGTTAGGGTCCTCAGGGCTGTCAGGGTCTTCATGGCCATGGAACTCATGTTGCTGGCGAGTAACCAATCCCTGCACTCCACTGGACTGAGACACAGACAGTGCCTTTCTTGGACGGCAATCCCTGGCCCCTACCTGAGTCCCTTCGTACTGACTGTCTTCTCTTCCTGTGCCTTTAAATCTGTCTGTGCTGGAATCTTTGACGTTAGAAAGAGTGCTGTCCCTGAGTCCTCCACAGTCCACTTGGTTGCAAGCTGACTGCTTGTACTTGGGCTTACCAAACCATTTGTGGTCATTTGCATACACATCTTTTTCATTTATATATAAATCCTTTTTACTTCTTTTATTGACTTCTGCACATTCTGACTTCTGTCCATTGAAATTTTCACAACTTCTACAACTGAATTTTGGTCTCTATGGAGACAAAATATTATACTTAGCTTTAATTTTCATGTGTACTTTTAAATTCAATTCAATATGGATTATTTATAACTCTTCATTCAATTATAATTTTACTTAACCATGTGTACTGGTGGGGTGTATCTGCTATTTCAGAAAAAAAGACTACTAGAATAGAGATTTAATAGAATATGTATGTTAATTTTTATTTTCCACTGTACATTTCAACTCCTTTTTGCCAGTATTTTAGCATTATTAACCTGGCTAGATATTATAAAAACTTCAATTTACTTAATTTTGAAATCAAAATTTCTATTACAAGGGCCCTCCACAAGAATTCCTTAGAATCAGTCTCCTCTTTCAATGGTTATAGGGCTGGAGTTAGAACAAAGAGAATTCCTTTCTCTGATACCTAAAAGAACTCGAGTAAGGATATAGGAAGCTTAAAAACATGACAGTAATAAGATCCTAAATTGGTCTTATGGAAAGATCATTGTCAGTTGCTGAGATTAAAACAGGAACCGCTCCCTGTCATTCACCATAACTCAAGCACCATTCAAAGTGTGGGGAGACAATCTGACACCCTGAACTCTCAAACTGTGCTTAGGCCAAGGAGATGCACTACACAGATAAACCACAGGTTCCAGGAGGAGGAGAAAGGAAAGGTTATCAGGACATTAGTGCCCAGATACGCTACATTTACTCAATTGCTTCTCAAACAAAGGGCCCTGCACGCTCTGATTCGCATGTAATTGGAAGTACAGGTGAAGTCGCTGTTCCTAACACTCCAACAGTTTCTCTCTCTCTCTTGTCTAATGCTCTATAAAACAATCAGCAGGGGGATCCCATAGAAACACGATTAGACCCAGCTTTACCTTGCACTGGTATACGTCCTCTACGGCTACTGGATCAGAGTCACTGTTGATAGCTGGAAACAAAAAGAGAACTAAAAAAACCAGTTTCCAGTAGTCAGATTCAAGACTTCTAAAATCCACAAGAGCTTTGCCATGAGAAAACAGTATGGAATAAGTAAAACTGCACAAGCATTTTATAATAACACTGGTCCTTATATTATTCCTACAATATAAAATTTATATATAAAGTAGAAATCAATTGCTATTTTTTTAAAGATTTGTTTTTATTTGAAAAGTAGAATTCCAGAGACAGGGAAGGGCAGAAAGAGATCTTCCACTCCTCAATGCTGGGTTGGGCCACAGTCAGTGACTTCTGAGTCTCTCACACAGGCACAGGGGCCCTCCAACCAGGCTATCCCTGGCTCGTAATCAGAGAGCTAGAACGGGAAGTGGAGCCGCAGCCAGGAATCAAACCAGCACCCATACAGAACTTTGGCACTGCAGGCAGCACTTCTTTTGTAATCCACAGTGTCAGCCCCACCAATTACTGTTCTTGAGAGACCTAAAAGCATTTACACAGAAAAAAGTTAAGTGCAGCCAACAAAACACTAATATGAAGAAGGAACAATAAACCCAGAATTTTTTCATTTTCCCCATAGATATGTGTAGACATCCTCTCATTTGTAGCTTATGTGTACAAGATCTCATAAGGCAAAAAACACCTTTTTGTGGTCATTTTCTTTTTTTGAGTGGTAATTTTCAAACAGATTTATTTATCTGAAAGGCAAAGCAGCAAATAAGATGGATAGGGAGAAGGGAGAAAGGTGCTGCACACGAGACAATCTGCCATCCTTTGTTTTACTCCCCACAAAGCTCCAAAGCTGGGACAGGACTCCAATGTCTCCACATGGACGGCAGCGGCCGGAGCACTCAGACCAGCTCCACTGCCTCCCCAGGCACATCAGCATGGAGCCAGACTAGAAGCAGGACTGCCTGATGCAAACTGGAACTTGGATCAGATGTGGAATACCAACAATGCAAGCAGTAACGGAATGCCAGTGCTGGGTGGAGGGGAGGTCATAAATAGGTCATCATTTCCTACTACTTTTACTTCAAAAGATTTTAGTTTAACTGCTTCATTCTCTTCAAAATGAAACTCACATACATAGAAAAGAATATGGGGGAGGGGGAATCCCATTTAGGTTGATAACAAAAGGAAACTTTTAGCATCTCTCTTACTGTCTCCTTGAAATGCTGAAGGTATAACTCCAGCCAGCTATATGTGTATTTCACAACAAAAGATTAAAATGTGGAAACCTTACAGCTAGGAAGTAAATGAACAGCTGATAGAGGAGGGAATAAATAAATGAATATCTTAGATGTGACATGGAGATACAAGTTTCAGTGAAAACAGATGTTTAGCCCAGCAGTTACAATGCCTGCTCTCAACTCCTGGTTCTGATTCCTTTCTGCCACCTTCCTGCCATTGCAGACCCTTGCAGGGGGTGGAAATGGCTTAGCCCACGATGTCACAGTGTCGGTCACCACAAGGAACTGGCCTAAGGAATGGTGTTCCTGCCACCCGTGCCATAATGTGGAAAACGTGGGATTGGGCTCCTGACTCCTTCTCTGGCTCCAGCTCAGACCTGGCACAGACACTTCGGGCATTCAGGGATGAACTAGTGTGAGCAAGTGCTCTCTCTCCCTGCCTTGAATTAAACAAAACATAATTTTTTTAAGTTCAAGAACATAAACAACCCTAAATATTTTATGTGCTAAAATGTAAGCTATTTTAACAAGAATATAACTGAAAAACGCCATTCAGTTTTCTGCTATGAGTCACTGTCAAAACAGTGATCAAACCAACACACACAAGGTGGCCTGACAGCCACTGATTCATGGCAGCCAGGTCAGGAAGGAGTGTTCTTCCGTCAGATAGACTAGAAGCTCCAGAGTCATTTGGATGCTTTCCAGCCAGGTGCCGGTGGTCAAGTCTCACATCTGCCTCTGTTCAGTCTCCACTGAGGAAGCTTACAAAATATCCTATCGATGCCAGATGATCCAATCCTGGGGAACTAACTGAAAGTGCCCCAATAGGATACCTACTGCTATTGTTCTTACCCAAGAAGAAAAGACTCAGCACCTTCTCCAAACCTTGGCTCTACTATGATAAAATACAAAAACAGCTTTGTCCACAAACCACATTACTGGTCCCTAAAAGAATCTTGGAGGAAAGAAGGAGCATCTATTCCCTCTCAGTTACAATGCTACACTTTCCAGCATGACACTAATCACAGGCACCAAATCTCTCTTTTTTTTTTTTAAGATTTGTTTATTTAAAAGACAGAGTTACCGATAGAGGGAGAGATTCCATCCACTGGCTCACTCCCTGATGGCTGCGACAACTGGAGCTAGGCCAGGACAAAGCTAAGAGCTTCATCTGGGTCTCCCAAGTGGCTGCAGGGACCCAATCACATTCCCAGGCTCATGACAAGTGAGCTGGATCAGAAATGTGGAAGCCAGGACTCATACAGGATGCTGGTGCTGCATGCTGAGGCTTAACTCATGATGCCACGGTGTCAGTCACAGCACACTCGGAAGGTTAGGGTTAGGGGTCATGTACCTTATTCCTTTCATATCACCTCAAGTTCCAGTGTTACAAGTGGACTGTGCTAGAATATTGCATACACGTTAACCCCAGTCTTAGAATATTGCATAGACGTTAACTCTAATCTATACTAACAATTCCAAATGTAAGTAGGCAGGTGGCTAGATCCAGAAAATCAAATTTATAGATGAGAAGACTAAGAATGTTAATTTATCCAGAACTATACAAATAGTAAGAACAAACCCTTGTCCTATGGCAAAGCAGAACAATTTCACTAAAAGACCAAAAAGAAACAAAGACTTTTTATATGAGGAAGAGTTTTTACTCACCATTCCCAAAATTGAAAGCTTTTCAATTAAAATTAAAAGCAAATACTTTGTGTAAGCATACAGTTATTCTTTAAGTAGACTATGCTCCTATTAAAGGAAGCTACTCTGAAAATACAAACGTAATATACAAACCATCTGGGGGAGCAAGATGAGGTGGTCTAGCTGAATGACCTCCCTCACAAAGGAAGGGTGGGGCTAAGTCCTAAAAAGACAGTGAGGATTCCTCTCCAACAGGAAACCCCTTAGACGGGTACAGATTGAAAGTAGGCAGTGATGAGCAGCAAGCTGGAGTTAGGGAAAGGGAGGGAATGTCGGAGTGTTCACCTCCAAGAAGCAGCGATGCACACCATAAGAGACCCAAGCAGTGAGGTTCATCACCAAGGTAAAAGATATCTATTTTTACCTCAGGCTGGATATACTTTTTATATACTTTTATTGGAAAGTCAGATTTACAGAGAAGGAGAGACAAAGATCTTCCATCCGCTGGTTCACTCCCCAAGTGGCTGCAATGGCCAGAGCTGAGCTGATCCAAAGCCAGGAGCCAGGCGCTTCCGGGTCTCCCACACAAGTGCAGGGTCCCAAGACCTTGGGCCATCCTCCACTGCTTTCCCAGGCCACAAGCAGAGAGCTGGATGGGAAGGGAAGCAGCCGGCATACGAACCAGCACCCATATGAGATCTCGGTGCATTCAAGGCAAGAACTTCAGCTGCTAGGCCACTGCGCCGGGCCCCAGACTGGATATTTTATTAGGCTCTCTCTCTCTCTCTCTCTCTCTCTCTCTCTTTAGCTTGAAATGGAAATAGTTATTTAAATAGCCCATTTCCATGTACTTTTATACACCTGACTCCAACAAGTCGCGTTTGTTCTCTCTTTTGGTGCCTGGGAAAAGCCTGTGGTTCTAAGGGACTGATGCTTAATTGCTCTAGTGCAGTTAAACCATCAGTGACGTCCTCTCGTTACTACCAAGGGGGGTGGCTTCAATCCAGACCCTGGTCTTCAAACAAGGGCTTTCAAACAGTTGTATATCTCGATCAAATAAATAATCTGTAAATAAGTGGCTATAAAATAATAAAATGGACCATTAGCTAGAAAAGAAACAGTTTTATTATCTTACTGCCATAACATAATTTTTGACAGCAGGTGTACCCAACCATAACTGGAATAACTATCTAATACTAAACTGAACCCACTTCAGAAGCAGATATATTTGGAAAAGATGTTTCCAAGTAGACTAGCCAAAGCGCTTGTGTTCACAGACAGTCATTACCCATGCTACATGAGCAGTATCTGTTGTTTCCTCTGGGACACAAAGAGGCCTGGGGCATATATTTTTATGTACTCTCAGACGGCCTGCGCATTTCTTTATCGCTCCATCTTGCTTCCCTTCTGTTTCTTGCTCATTATGTACTGTAGGTTCTACTGCCTTATACAAGAGTGCTTCAAGAAGTTCACGGTACCACACATATATACATGAATTTCCAAAGTTTTATACCAAAATAACTCCATTTTCAATGAAAAATTTGAAATACAGTACTTGATATAGCAATCCACAAATGAAAGAATGAACTTCTTCAAATAATAAATTCCCACATGCTGGATAATGGGCATCTCTGTGCTGCCTGCCCAGTGCTTGTCAAGGCAGCATTTCACACACAGCCCCACTAGTCCCTGTGGCCCAGACACCGGGGGCTGCCTTCACTCCTGTCCTCGGCAAGGCCTGGGTCCTCAGCTCTTCCTTTGATTCTTTAGGTGCTCTGCCAAGAATTTCTCACTGCTGCCTTACGTTGACTGCCTGACCCAAAAGAATTTTTAATACAGAACTCTGAGAGCCGTTCAAGGAGCTCAGAGCAGAAACACAGCTACATGTCTGACACCAGTGTTGCAGCTGTGGGACAGGTCCAAGCAGACACACAGCTCCACCAACAGGTGGGTTTCCTCTGCCAGCAGGCATCCAGCATTGCCTAGGGAGGAAGAAAGGCAGGACTGACCTCACACAATCGGGAAATACCAACGGTAGAAGCCTCTGTTTTCAAAGACAATGATACATAAAACTTGTGATGGGGGAGCATGAATCACCCACACACTGCCTGGATGGAAAGCATTTGCCTCAGAGGACAGACACTACTTAATCTACAAATATTTGCTGAATGCCCTCTATGTGCAAGGGTAGTGTCCATCAGTGGACAGACAGCACAAGAACCCTTTCCTTCTTGGAGCTTAGATTCTAGAGGAGGAAGAAGGAACCTGAAAGGTAAGCAAAGTGGCTAGTGTGCTTGAAGGTGACAGTGCAACAGGAAAAGGCTAAGCAGAGGGGGTCAAGGCCTAGGTGAGCAAAAGATGCTCCTACAACATACGCACAAGTGTTACACTCTCCTTCCAGAGGCAGACCTTAATTCAATCTTCCGTGAATATGTGGACCAAACTCGGCAATTCACTTCTAACACAGAACATGGCAAAAGTGATGGAGTCTCATTCCAAGACAGGTTACAAAAAGACATGCTTTGTAGTAGGTGATTATCTTACTGCTTAAGACACCAGTTACAAACCCCATGTCTGGGGCTGGAGTGTTCTGCCACTCCTGATGCTTGCTCAGGTCTCAGTTGTTCTGCGTCCAATTCAACATGCCTGCTAAAACATCAGGGAAGGCTGTGCAAGAAATCCCAGGTGCCTGGGCCCCTGCCGTTCTTATGGAATAATGTGCTGGAGCTCCCAGCTCCTGGCCTTGCCTGGCCCTGTCCCCGCGTTTGAGGCCATTTAGGAACTGAACTAGCAGATGGAAGATCTCTCCGTCTCCCCTGCACTTCTGTCATTCTATTTTTCAAACACAAATCACTGAGATTTTCTTAGAGGCACCTGTGCCCCACCACAGAGTGCCTGGGCTCAGTACTCACCTCTGGCACCTGACCCCAACTTCATGCTGAGGCAGACCTGGGCTCAGTACCAATGAGGAAGACATATAGGACTGCTACAATGCTAAGTGGCTGCCTGGATAGACAGCTCCTGGACAGCTGGTTCTTACCTGACATAAGGTACCTCTTGCGTCTAGAAATGTATCTCTCCAGGAGTTGCTTCATGCGTATATCACTGGCCTCATCTAAAGCTGACTTGCCATTGTTACTCATAAGTAAGGGGTTGGCTCCATTCATCAACAGCAGCTCTGCCACCTAGCAAGAGAATTCACCAAGAGTAAAGGACTATGACTGTGTGCCAGCCTACAACTCCAGTAATGCTAGGGCTTCTTTCAACAACAGAGTCCAGTTCAATCCACAACACTTTTGCCCACTTAAAAAATGCACATATGGGGCCCAGCGCGGTGGCGCAGCGGTTAAGGTCCTTGCCTTGCACGCCTGGGATCCCATATGGGCCCGGCTTCCCTTCCAGCTCCCTGCTTGTGGCCTGGGAAAGCAGTCGAGGACGGCCCAAAGCTTTGGGACCCTGCACCCGTGTGGGAGACCTGGAGGAAGAAGTTCCTGGATCCTGGCTTCAGATCGGCATAGCATCGGCTGTTGCGCTCACTTGGGGAGTGAATCATCGGATGGAAGATCTTCCTCTCTGTCTTTCCTCCTCTCTGTATATCTGACTTTCCAATAAATAAATCTTTTTAAAAAAACGCTCATAGTCATTAATGAATCATTGTTTAATCACTTACAAATTTCTTAAAACAAAACTGGTAAAAAGGAAATAGATTTTAAAATTTGATAAAAGGAGAGGGCAAGAGGAGAGAAGAGGGGAACAGAGGTAGGGAGGAAGGAAAGGAAGAAAGCAAAGTGGGCAAGAAGGAGGTTTAGGCTGAGATGCTGGTGGTCCAAGGGTGCCAAGCTAAGCTACCAACCATGTGGGCATCAAGACTGGGCTTTGTAGTGGTAACTGTGACTCCAACAGGCTCCTGGAAATGGCCACACTCGTCACCTATACCTGGTTCTGCTGCTGCTCCTCCTCAGACTGGAGAAAATAACCAGTCCTTCCTCTGTCTGTAATGTCCCCGTAACCTCCTCTTGGAGGCCCTCCTTGGCCTCCTTGCTTTCTCTGCTGCCACTGTGTATTCTATCACAGTGCCAAAATGATTCTATATTATACTTATTTCTTATATGTCTGTCTCTTCTACACTCAGTGATTCCCGTAGATGCAATTTTTGGTTTGTTTTTCTCCACACCCCTCTTTTAAATTTAATCTAAGGGGCATGGTGCAAATTCTCAGTGCTTAAATCCCTGCCTTGCATGTACTGGGATCTCATATGGATCCACAGATTCACATCCTGGCTGCTCCACTTCCCACCCAGCTTCCTGTTTGTGGCCCGAAAGAGCAGTGGAGGATGGCCTAAGGCTTTGAGACCTGGCACCTGCATTAGACCTGAAGGAGGCTAATGAATCTGGGCTTCAGATCGGCTTAGCTCCAGATGTTTTGGCTCTACAGGCTAATCTTCCATCTGCTAGTGCCAGCATTGCATGTGGGCACTAATTCACATCCCAGCTGCTTCACTTCCAATCCAGCTCCCTGCTTATTGCCTGGAAGAACAACAAGGTGCTTGCGGGCCCCCAGAACTTAAGAAATTTCATAGTAATTAAAACATTTAATATAAGGATCTTGGGGGACTGATTGAAACAAAAACAATTTTTGGACAACTTGCTGGGTATTAAATGGTGTTAAGAAACGGTTAGCTTTTATCAGGGGAGATTATACTGTAAGTGTGAAAAAGAAATTACCTTTGAGAGAAACAGGCTTAAATATTTATGGGTAAAATCATATGATGTCTGGCATTTAAAAAAAAAAAAACACTCCAGCAACACCCAAACACAGTCCATGATGTTTAACCTGAAGAGGTGGCTCTAAAGCTCCAGCCCAGCAGAGTGGGCAGTGAACAGCCACAGCAAGCTCAGTACAGACACAGGAAAAAAGTCCATCACTACATCGCAGGGAGTTTTTCAATAGACATGAAACCCACAGCACCGTAAAGAAAGTTCCAAGTCAACATCCCTCAAAGTTTCCTGCTATGAGACACTTCACACAGCAAGGCTTTGTTAAATTCTGGATAGTATAACATCACTGCCATTTCCTTCATTTACTAAAAAAAGTATGACACATAGAAGAGCAATCAAGGCTAGTCTATCACTCATTCCTAAACAAATTCTTAAAGATCAGTACACTTCTGCCTGCCTTCCAAATTTAATAACTTACTGTTGATCATCTATAATTCTCAATTTCTCACTTTGGAAAAAATATTGATTTCTAACAGGTTGTTAGAACCCCCTTTTTTTTCTGTCTTTCAACACACAGAATACACAGCATAATTCTTCAGTGAGCGTCTCGGCTGCACAGGGTGATGCCTAGACCACAGAGATGTTCAGGGATCTGACAGCACCTGAGATCTCTGCGATGGACTGTGTACACTGGAGCTGATCATCTGAATGCTACCACCTATGGTAGCTACTGCTGACCAACTGGCCTAAATCACAGTCGCCTGACATTTGCACCAGCAGTATGACTGTGCTAGTGTGAATTGACTGGTCACCAACCCCAAGGAGGCCCTCGCGTCTCAAAAAGTAAGTCTGGATTCTATAGGACTGCAGCCCACTCCTACCCTCCACCCACTCCCACATCACAGAGGAGCTTCCTCTGTTATTCTTACATGGTTTCCTAATACATGGTGCCAGGGAGGTTTAACGTATCTAAAACACGGTTATTTGCTCCTGAAACAAAAGCATGACAGTACCTTGTAATGTCCATTTATCACAGCATCTTGTAGAGGAGTGATCTGGTACGCTCCCCTGATATTGACATCAGCTCCACCTTTTAATAGTTCACATGCCATCTGGTAAAATCCTCCCATACTAGCTTCATGGAGTGCTGTCCAACCTATTGTACAGAGAGGAAATAGAAAAAGATGATTCAAAAATGATATAGTTACTGGTTTTCCTGTTAATTCTTTAAATGATACAGCTATTTAAAGCAAAAATTATGATATGATGTTTTGGAATTATAATGCCTATATATGTGTCACATAAAATAATTAAAGTATAACGAGGGAAGGAGAATAAAAGGGCTGCAGATACTTAACATTCTTATATCTAATATGAAGTTTTACAACATTAATTTTCAGAAGAATTTGAAACGTTTAAGATGTTTATTTAATTCCTAGAGCAATCATTAAAAAACAATGTAGGGGCCAGTGCCGCGGTGTCGGCAGGGGCCAGTGCTGTGGTGTGTTATAGGGTCAGCAGGGGCCAGTGCTGTGGTGTGTTATAGGGTCAGCAGGGGCCAGTGCTGTGGTGTGTTGTGGGGTCGGCAGGGGCCAGTGCTGTGGTGTGTTATAGGGTCAGCAGGGGCCAGTGCTGTGGTGTTATAGGGTCAGCAGGGGCCAGTGCTGTGGTGTGTTATAGGGTCAGCAGGGGCCAGTGCTGTGGTGTGTTGTGGGGTCAGCAGGGACCAGTGCTGTGGTGCTGGCAAGTTAAGCTGCTACCTGCAAGACAGCATCTTTATGAGTGCTGCTTTAAGTCCCTCCTACTCTACTTTCCCTGGGAAAGCAACAGAAGATGGCAAACATCCTCAGGCTCTCTACCCACAGGGGAGACCAGAAAGAAGCATTTGGCTACCTGGTTTTGGCCTGACCCTGGCTCAACCACTGTGAGCATTTGGGGAATGAACTCTCAGATAGAAGATCTCTCTTTAATCTCTCCCACTCTCTTTCTGTAACCTTGGCTTTCAATAAATAATTACAGTCTTTATTGAGTAAAATAGTGTCTAAAACAAAACAAAACAAAACAAAAAAATGAAAAAGCAAAGAAACAGGAAACAGACTGAGTACACAGGAAAGAAGCAGAATGGTAGTTAATATTTTACAAAAAGATTTATTTATCTTTATTGTAAAGATAGATTTATAGAGAGAAGGAGAGACAGAGAGAGAGCTTCCATCCACTGGTTCACTCCCCAAATGGCTGTAATGGCCAGAATTGAGCTGACTGGAAGCCAAGAGCTAGAAGCCTCCTCTGGGTCTCTCACATGGTGTAGGGGCCCAAGGACGTGAGCCATCTTCCGGAGCTTCCCCAGGCCACAAGCAGAGCTAGATGGGAACTGGAGCAACAAGGACAAGAACCAGTGCCCGCATGGGATGTTGGCGCTTGCTGGTAGAGGATTAGCCAGTTGAGCCATTATGTCAGCCAGATTGCTAGTTCTAAATTCAATTATTTATATTAAATAGAAATTACCTACTCACTTCAATTTCCAATAAAAAGGCAGAAATTGGCAGAATGGAGCAAAAGAAACAAAACTGGATACTGTCTACAGAAAACATATTTTTAAAAAATATACTGAAAATGAAAGGAAAAAAAAGATACAGCAAAATGAACAATAAGTCCAAGGAGGCCAGGATGTGTGCACTGACATTTACACAGCAACAGTGAGCTTCCTCAAGCAGACAGGAATGAGAAAACAACCCTAACAAAAGAGTAGCTTCTTTTCTGTGGATCCAAAACAGCAAGAAGAGAAGGCAAATGCAAAGCAATGGCTTGTCTTTCATAGAAAGGCCAGGCTTATATTTAAAGTTAGTGAAGACAATGTGCAAAGAGCGTAAAGTACACTGAGTCAGGGAAAGGACACAGTGGGGCGGGGTGTGGGGAAGGAAAGGGAGTGCTGAGACGTGACCTTCAGGTGAGGCCTAGCAAGATGATCCAGTGAAGGGCCATGGCAGGAGAAGGAGTGTCACGCTCAGGGGAAACCACTGCAGACCAGAGAAACCCATCACAGGTGGCAAAGAACGTCCCCTGCCCCCAAGAGACCCTCCTGGTTTTATAACACAGCTTATCTTATCTGCCACATCTGCAAGGTAGCAGTCCTCAAACAACCCTCTAACTATCCTGTGGGAAAATTAGTAAGATCAGGCATGCCATTTGACCTACTGGTCAAGATGCCATTTCGTATCAATGGTCCTGGGTTTCATGCCCAGCTCTGGCTGTGGCTCCTGACTCTGGCCTCCTGCTGATGCAAACCTTGGGAGGCACCATGAGCACCCAAGTTCTGGCCACCACGTGACAGACCTGGATCGTATCCCTTGCCAACAAGAGCAGTGTGACAGATGAGGGTCTTGCTGCTCTCTCTCTCTAAATATATATACCTGCCTCTTCAATAAGCGAATATTACAAATAATAAAAAAAAACATACATTTCCCAAAGAGAACATAATTTAACATATTTCACAATTCTTGAAACAATTCAGCAATCAAACAAACACAATTTAAATTTGGGCAAATGACGTCAGTAGGATGCTTCTCAAGAGAAAGACATCCAAACGGCTATGAGAAACACGAGAGAAAGTCACTAAAGGATCAGGGCTGTGCAAATTAAAACCACAACTAAACATCAGCTGTGATCAAGAAGACACAAATAGCAAGTGCTAGTGAGAATGTGGCCGAGAATATTAGCACAGTCATGTGTGAGAAACAGGATAGCAGCTTCACCAACTACAAACAGAATTACCATTTGTCTGTGTGTCTATATGTGTGTGCGTGTGGTGCTTACACCCCTGGTTCCTCTGTGTGTGTGTCTGTGTCAATGTGTGTGTATGTACGTCTGTGTAGTACTCACACCCCTGGTTCCTCTGTGTGTGTATGTATGTGTGTGTGTTTGGTGCTCACACCCCTGGTTCCTCTGTGTCTGTGTGTCGTGTGTGTGTCTCTGTGTGGTGCTCACACCCCGGTTCCTCTGTGTGTGTGTGTGTGTTTGGTGCTCACACCCCTGGTTCCTCTGTGTCTGTGTGTTGTGTGTGTGTCTCTGTGTGGTGCTCACACCCCGGTTCCTCTGTGTGTGTGTGTGTGTTTGGTGCTCACACCCCTGGTTCCTCTGTGTCTGTGTGTCGTGTGTGTGTCTCTGTGTGGTGCTCACACTCCTGGTTCCTCTGTGTGTGTGTGTGTGTATGTGTGTTTGGTGCTCACACTCCTGGTTCCTCTGTGTCTGTGTGTGCGTCTGTGTAGTACTCACACCCCTGGTTCCTCTGTGTCCGTGTGTCATGTGTGTGTGTCTCTGTGTGCTGCTCACACCCCTGGTTCCTCTGTGTGTGTGTGTCATGTGTGTGTGTCATGTGTGTCAGTGTGGCGCTCACACGCCTGGTTCCTCTGTGTCTGTGTGTCATGTGTGTATGTGTGTGTTTGGTGCTCACACCTCTGGTTCCTCTGTGTGTGTGTGTTGTGTGTGTGTGTCTCTGTGTGGCGCTCACACTCCTGGTTCCTCTGTGTGTGTGTCTGTGTGTCATGTGTGTGTGTGTGTGTTTGGTGCTCACACCCCTGGTTCCTCTGTGTCTATGTGTCATGTGTGTGTGTGTGTGTTTGGTGCTCACACCCCTGGTTCCTCTGTGTCTGTGTGTCGTGTGTGTGTCTCTGTGTAGTACTCACACTCCTGATTCCTCTGTGTGTGTGTGTGTGTGTGTGTGTGTTTGGTGCTCACACCCCTGGTTCCTCTGTGTGTGTGTGTCATGTGTGTGTGTCATGTGTGTCAGTGTGGCGCTCACACCCCTGGTTCCTCTGTGTCTGTGTGTCATGTGTGTATGTGTGTGTTTGGCGCTCACACCCCTGGTTCCTCTGTGTGTGTGTGTCGTGTGTGTGTGTCTCTGTGTGGCGCTCACACTCCTGGTTCCTCTGTGTGTGTGTCTGTGTGTCATGTGTGTGTGTGTGTTTGGTGCTCACACCCCTGGTTCCTCTGTGTCTGTGTGTCATGTGTGTGTATCTGTGTAGTACTCACACCCCTGGTTCCTCTGTGTCTGTGTGTCGTGTGTGTGTCTCTGTGTAGTACTCACACTCCTGATTCCTCTGTGTGTGTCATGTGTGTGTGTGTGTGTGTGTGTGTGTGTGTGTGTGTGTTTGGTGCTCACACCCCTGGTTCCTCTGTGTGTCTGTGTGTCAGTGTGGCGCTCACACCCCTGGTTCCTCTGTGTGTCTGTGTGTCAATGTGTGTGTGGCGCTCACACCCCTGGTTCCTCTGTGTGTGTGTGTGTCTGTGAGGTGCTCACACCTCTGGTTCCTCTTGTGAGTGTGTTTGCATGTGTATGTATCTGTGTGTGTGTGCATGAAATACTCTTCCCATGTGGACTCATCCATGTATGTCATCCAAAAATACTGATACCACACAAGCAGAGAGCAGAATCAAAGGCAACTATCATCACTTCCTCTCAGCTCTGCATTGGTGAGAAGCAGCAACCTCAAGCCACAGCCAGCAATCAATTCCTGATACTCCAGCACAGAACACAAGCATCTTCACCAACCTTGTAGTCGTTAGGCTAAACAACCACCTCATCTATTTGTTGTTATCTGTTTCTTTCTTGCTTGGTTAGCAAGATCAACAGCTTGCTGTTATCAGTATTCCGGAATGTGACAACCTCTCTTTTCAGTCCTAATGTGCGACAGGCTTAGGAATCAGTTAGAATTCTCCGTAAGATACAGCTCATGGAGCCTGCATCATGGTGTACATGGTAGGTTAAGGTGCCAGCATCCCATATCCGTACTGGTTCAAGTCCCGGCTGCTCCACTTCCCATCCAGCTCCCTACTATAGCTTGGGGAAGCGGCAGAGCATGGCCCAAGTTCTTGGGACCCTGTACCCATGTGGGAAACCTGGAGGAAGCTCCTGGCTCCTGCCGTCAGCTCAGCTCAGCTCTGGCCATTGCAGCCATTCACTAGTGGGTGAAAGACCTTTCTGTGCCTCTCCTCTCTGTAGATCTGCCTTTCAAATAAAAATAAACAAATCTTAAAATCACAGCAATTGGTTTTTAAATCAAGGACAAGCATATTCTAAAACATAAATGATAAATAAAATGCAAGTGTTACTTATGAAAAGATCGTTGGTATAGTATAACATCTTATTTACTTCTCATACAGCATGTAGTGTTTTTTTTATTTATTGTCTCCTAAAATAAATATATCAGGCACAGCAGAACATACTGTGAAAACATAGCTACATCAAGGCCGTTTGCTAGTACTTCTAGAATTGCAGTAACACTCTGACAGTCACCTGTGAGCACTCCATGTTCTTATACATCTTGCAAATGCAGGTATATACACACAGGTGTATGTGTTTGGGGAGGTGAAATGATGGCTGCATTGTAAACACTGCTGATGGTATCAAGCCATGCCTGCAACACTGGCATATCCAGTTGGATTCCTGGCTACTCTGCTTCTGATCCAGCTTCCTGCTATCGTGTTTGGAAAGGAATCTAAGGATGGCCCAAGTACCTGGGCCCCTGCCAACACATGGGATACCATAAGGGTGTTGGTGACTTCTGGCTTCAGTCTGGCCAACCTAGTCCTAGATATTGCAACGCTTTGGGCAGTGAATCTGCAAAGGGGAGATCCTGCCCTTCCCTCCCTCTCCATCTCCCTGCTTTTCAAATAAGTAATTCTGCTGGTTAAAAACATGTGCATATCCAGGGAACTGATTTACACACCTCTTAGAATCAAGACAGCAAGTGTTCTACCTGGCAAATAAAAGGCAAAGCTGAAGACTTAGCTTTCACAGGAGTGACTCAGATCAAACTGGAAGATCCTCATAAGGCAACAGATGGAAACCTAACTTACCAGCATAACTTGGCTGATTAACATTGGCACCTTTTTTAATAAAATGATGAACAAGATCCACATCATTGTGTAGAACAGCCTGATATAGTAAATTCTCCCCAAAAGCATTTCTCCGATTAATGCTAGAAAGAGTTACATCATATTTCTTTCTTCTTCCTAAAAGCAGAGAGGCACAAAAGAATAAAATCCTTATTTGAAAATCAGGATGAACCCAGTCAACATTGTTTTAGCAAGCTATTTACAGCTACAATGTTATCTATGTGTAAAAAGAAAATGAGATATATGTAATCAGTTTAACATATCTGTGGTAGGGCCTAGCGGCTAAGGTCCTCGCCTTGAACGCCTGGGATCCCATATGGGCACCGGTTCTAATCCCATATGGGCCGCTTCCCATCCAGCTCCCTGCTTGTGGCCTGGGAAAGCAGTCGAGGACGGCCCAAAGCCTTGGGACCCTGCACCCGTGTGGGAGACCCGGAAGAAGTTCCTGGATCCTGGCTTCGGATCGGCATAGCATCGGCCGTTGCACTCACTTAGGGAATGAATGAATCATCGGATGGAAGCTCTTCCTCTCTGTCTCTCCTCCTCTTTGTATATCTGACTTTCCAATAAATAAATAAATCTTAAAAAAAACATATTTGTGGTAAATTACAAATCATGATGAAGTAGTGTATATTGGCTGACATGTCGTAAAAGGCACATATGTGAGAACACTAGCAGAGTCTCTTAAAAGTTCTGATGGAAAGAATTACTTAAATCTAGAAATATGTATCATCAAGCTTAATAGAATATCACAGAAGTGGGTAAGATGAGTTCAGCTTCCCTGGAACCACACTGACAGAGCACCTGGTCAACCGTTCATCTCTCAGCTCTGGTTCCTGACTCCAGCTTCCCTGGGGGGCAACAGAGATGACTCAGTGTCTGAGAGTTGCATGGAGATCCTCGCAGTGCAAGCCTGGCTGCCACAGGCGTTCGGAGTACACTGGGCAAGGACACTCTCTGGTTCTGACCCTCTGCCTCTCAAGCAAATGAACATTTGTAAGGGGCAAGTTCTCAGGAGGTCAGATCCTGAACCTGCCAGTTCAGTCCCTGCTATTCCAGGTCTGATCCAGCTCCCTGTAAGACGCTACCTTACGGACCTCAAGCCCTGGCACTGATGTGAGAGAACAGCGAGCAGCCTCAGCTCACAGTTTTCCACTTTGCGGCTGTGAGCATTTGGGAAGTGAACCAGCAGGTGGAGGATCTCTTCCTCTCTGTCATTCTGCTTCTCAAATAAATAAATCTTCTCAGAAAATGAATAAAGAATAAAGAAGGAACAGAAAAATGTCCAGTGAAAACTAAGTTATGCACATGACTTTTAGTCTTGACTGAATAACTGCCATGACCTGCACCCTCCACCCCAGTCCTGAAAGCAACAATGCATGTAGGAAACCTATTTCCAAACCCTGGGAAGTGGCATTTCAGACCTTGGACCCTCAGTGAACAAGTACAGACAAGGGAGGCCTGGGATCACCCTGGCTTCTTGGCACATGCACAGGGTGAGGAAGGGGATGGGCAGCTCCTGTTGACAGAGGGCAGATATCACACTAGAGGAGGCTGAGATGCCACAGCTTGCAAAGGGCGCCGGAGAGGAAAGGACAGAGCAGAGGTGTCAGAAACCCATCCTAGGGGTTCCTTGAGTCCTTATCCAAATACCAAACTGCTCCTGAGGAAGGAAGGGTGTTCATAAGGCCAGGGACAGACAACAAGTATCAAGGAACTGTAACTAACCATTGTCAGAGCTAGATGGGACTCTTGAAATACTCCTACTGCAACCAACCTGAATAAGGAAACCCTGCTGGAGAGGAGAGGGAGAAGGGAAAGAGGTAAGCAGACAGGGCAGAGGAGAGCCTCTCATCTACCAGACTCTTCCCAACATGGCCATTCTGACCAGGGCTGAACCAGGAGCTGTCTCTCATGCCGGTGGCAGGCACCCAGCTGCTTAAGCCTCGGCCTGCTGCTTTCCAGGGTCCATATGATCAGAAATCTAGAACTGGGAGCCCTAAGTACTCCAATATGGGACACAGGCATCCTAACCAGTGTTTTAACTGCAGGCCAAACATTCACCCCACAGCTGCTTTTTATAAATGAAATTCAAATAATTACACTTTCAAATTTTTAAAATGTACTTGCCTGAGAGTCAGAGAGAGCCCCCATCTGCTAGTCCACTCCCCACATGGCTGGGGTTGGGCCAGGGCTGAATCTAGGAGATAGGAACACAATCTACTACAAGTGATGGAAACTCAGCCACTGTGGCCATCAGGCTGCCTCTGAGGGTCTCCATCAGCTAGATGCTGGAGTCAGGAGCCAGAGTCATGAATCAGACTGTGTATGGGACACAGGGATGGTCAGCACCTTAGTCACTCGGCTACGCAATACCCACCCCTGCAGTAGCTGTTAGTGTGGATTCCACAGATTTTCCACACAGATGATTAAGCGTTTCACTGCTCGCCTTCCACACTGGATGGCTTTTGTTTTTCTGACTTGCTAGAACCTGCGGACATGATGGGAGGAGACACCCCTGTGTACCCTGAGCTTCCCAGACAGCAGGCAGTGCTTCAGCTGGACACCTCTGGCAGATGTCCACCCCTTGTCAGGCTGTCCCTAAACATCTTCATGGCAGGTGGGCAATACGGGCTGTCAAGGGTGCTTTCAGCATCTGTCAAGGTGACTTCCTGATTTTCCTGTTTAGCATGTTACTATATTGACTTACAGTGAATGATTTTTTTTTTAAGATTTATTTTATTGTGAGATTGGCAGCGATTCATAACTGGTGAACTATCAAAACCACTTGAGCAAGTATTTCAGAGCATGCCCCACATCAGGGACCTGGGGGGGTGGGAAACTGGGTGGGGCTTCTCCCTCAATATCCCCCCTTTACCTCAGATACATGAATGAAACAATATGGAAATAATAGTCCTACCCACTTTCCTATAGTCCTTGAACCTTTTTACCCTAATTAACTATGTAAAGATTGTCAAAAATATAATAAAAAATGAAAAAGAAAGATTTTATTTTTATTGGAAAATCAGGTATACAGAGAGAAAGGAGAGACAGAGGAAGATCTTCTATCCATTGATTCACTCCCCAAGCGGCAACAACAGCCAGAGCTGCACCAGTCCCAAGCCAGGAGCCAGGACCTGTTCCAGGTCTCCCAACATGGGTGCAGGGTCCCAAGGCTTTGCTACTTTCTGCTACTTTCCCAGGCCACAAGCAGGGAGCTGGATGGGAAGCAGCGCTGCCAGGACACAAACTGGTCCCATATGGGATCCTACTGTTTGCAAGGTGATGACTTTAGTCGCTAAGCTACTGCGCCAGGCCCACAGTGAATGATTTTCAAACATAAAGCCAATTTTGCACTCCATTATTTGGCCGTGATGTCTTATATAACATCAGATTTGACTTGTCGGGAATTTAGGAAGCATGAGCTTGGGAAGTATTTCCTCATTTCCAACTTTTCGGAAGAGTTTGTACAGAGTTGACATGGTTCCTCACTGAGATGGTGGGGAGACTCACCGTGGGAGGTGCTGCTGCCTGGAACCTACTACTACCAGTGAGCGGGAAAACCTCCTCAACGGTCTCCTCTCAGGGAAACGAGGAAGCTGAGGACACAATAACCAGAATCCTATTTCTGTGTTACTTACAAAGAAACTGAAAGACACTCAAAAGATGCCTTACCCTTTTCCACTCTGTGTTGTCCACGCTTCCTGATCTGTGTGCTCTTGGATCGCGATGCAGGAGTCTCCTTCTGCTGACCTTTAACCCCTAAAGCAGCAGCCTGCTTCCTTGAGAAGTAACTGTAGTGGAAATTAACAATGCTTTCTTCAAGCATTCACGAAGAATCATACCAAGTGTTCATCCAATTTTTGAAATTCAATGTACTGTGCTATTTTCAGAGGTGTGGCAGTTCTGACAATTTGGAGCCAGGCAAGCCCAGTCAGCCTCCAGCTTCCAGCCCTCCCTGCCCTCATGCCATTGGTAGGATTCTCTCCTCTACCTACAGTCACCCACAAGCATGACCCTTCTGAGTCTCCTGCCCTTCCCTCCCTCACTAGGCAAACCACCATCCACTCCATTCACTGCCCAGTGGAAAAGAGGCAGGCTTTTGCAAGGAAAAAAAAAAAAAAAAACTATATTATGGTATGGCACTGATCAAAAATGCAAAATCTAAGAAAATGAAAGAAAAAATCAATATAAAAAATAAAACTCTTTACCTGGCCCTAATTTCCCCACACTTATCTTTATTTACCAAGTAGGTACAGGCTGCCTCTGGCAGCATACCTGGGAGTGTCGGCACCAAGCACTTTTGGCAAAACGTCGTCTGAGGGCTGTGCGCTCATACTGCCTTTCCGCCTCCCCAGCCTGCAGGATCTCCTCAGCACAAGTGCAGTTTCCTCCTCACAGCTGTTTTCCACCGAAGCTGGAGTTCCCTTATCACTCAGCAGCTCACAGGAGGTGACATTCTGGTGGGCAAAACGCTGCAATCCAAACGAATCTGGGTCTTCCAGAGTCTGTAAAATGTAAATATTTCCATAATGACAGCAATATAAAAGAGCTAAAACCCAGAAAAAATTAAATTTGACCTTGTCCTTCAAAATGCCCCAAAAATTTAGGAATTTGCAAACATGTGAACAAGATGAAAAAATCTAATGTAATAAATGGCAGTGCATATCTAAGAGCTGAACAAGAGCCTATGGAAAAATAATTTCATCAATATTCTTTCTTAAAATACAAGGGACAACATGAGTTCAACATGGTGCTTTAATTTTTCAGGAAGTAGGTCATGTAGAATGAGGAGCTTAGGGAAGAATTATAAAGTCCCTACAGGCAGAGGAGGGAGCTTCTACACAGCCCAGAAGCAACATGTGGTACCTTGGGAAACAAGAGAGCACATACTGACTTCAAAAGTTCACAGCACAAATTCCTCTAGCTTCCCCTTAACAATAGCTTCTAGAACTAGCTTTGCCGAAGATACCATGTAAACCTTTCCTGAGCCTGTTTTATATATAGATTAAAACTTCTCAAAGTTGTAAGTTCCACATTTTTACGTCAGCTGAGTAGCATTCAACCTAGTGACTCTTCTACTTTTAAAGAGGTTTCCTTTCTCTTGTCTTTTATACTTTTATAGACTTGCCAAGTTTTCACTCTTATCAATATTGATCATAATTCCTGAAACTTTTTCCTATTCCTTCTTTCCAAATTTCTCACATTACCCTTGCTGCCCTTTCTCCCTCATTACTTTCTGTTTCTTTGGATTTCTTCTTAGTTCTATCACATAGGTTTGGAGATTTGTTGATCAAAACTGTGTATAGTATTTTTCTGGGTATGTGTGCTGCACCATGAGTTCAGTGTCAGGTTAAGTCTTCCCAAGGGTATTCAATGGAACATTTGTCCAGCCAGAATATCTACAATCCCAACCTCAAAAACAAGAGACAGAGACAAAACCTACACAAATGACCATATTAATGAATTGGTTAAATAAATAATAACACAGATACTAACAGTGGAACACCATTCAGCAGGCTAAAAGATTTTAAAACTAACAAAGCATACATATGACACAATTCAGTTTGTATACATAAACCTTACACTGGACATGATAAAAACAAAAACTTCAACAATGCTCTCTCTAGAAACTAGAGCTGCAATTCTGTAAAGTCTGAATTTTTCATGGGGGATGCAAATTGCCAACAGGAAAAGGGCCATGCTGAGTCTTCCAACATGGCTACAAAGTCAAGCGGAATACACTTGCACATGACCTCTGACATAACCAGAAGATCTAGGCAGATAGACCAGTCATAAGTCTTTTGTGGGTGTGGGGTCTGCCGGAAGGCTCCCTCCTGACCTCCCCTTCCTTACTACTGAAAACCTGCACCTTCTGCATAATAAAGCAGACATTCCTCACGAGCTTGACTTTGGTGGTTCTTGCGGCCCAAGGCCACCACCTGCCTCACCCTAGGTGACCTGGGGACCTGCTGGCAGGCCTAAACCCTGCGAGCCTTCATACAGGCATAATTTGCCCCTGTTCCAGGCAGCCCAACAGTATATATTCTATGTCTAAGTATAAATTAACGCAAAGGGCCGTCTTATATAAGCAACCTGATGACATGTCTTCTCTGGCCTCCCGGGAAGAAATCTGCCCAGTTTCAGCTTACTTGGGAAACTCTACCCCACAGGCATTTCTAAAACGATACTGTATACTGCAGATAAGGAAGTAGCTTCTGGGTGTCAAGATCGCTGCAGAAGGCAAACTCATACTTGCCTTACCTCCTCTGCTGACAGCCGGCTGTCCTGCAGATCAGCTAACTCAGAACCTTGCTTGGAAGCCATGCCTGCAATCTGTGTGCAGTCTGCTTCAGGTTCCATTTCCAAGGCCTCATTCCCATTGCTGGGACAGATGGGCCCCACCCCAGCTCCTGAGAATGGGCTCAGGGTCAATGGCAGCTTGGCTGGTGAGGCTAACTCCTCAGTGTTGGGCACAAAATCTCCTCCACACCCCACCATGGCAACCAGAGGTGTCAGCACAGGACTCAGCAGGTTCTTTAACATCCCTGGGTCAGAGCTGTTCTTCATGTCACTCAGTCTCTCCTCAAAGGCATTTCCTGGTGAGGATATCTGTCTCTCTAAGGCAGACACAAAAGTTTCCAGAGAGCTCTCTTCATCGCAGGTTTCCTCGCCAGCCGCAGTCAGTGCGACTTCATTGCCCAGCTCAGCAAGTGTATCTGATGTCGCTGACACCTCCAGCTCTGCCACTGACTCCCTCTCAGCCCCCAGAACCATAGTAGCAGCACTGGAAAAGAAGCTCCTCTCCAGGAAATCTCTTTCTTCACTCAGTTCCTGTGGAGTGTAAACAGAAGACATTTAAAATGAAATCTTTGCTGTTATAATTGATTTAGTCTGTAGGCCTTCCTCAAAAGTTTCAGGGACGGGCTCGGAACGATGGCTTAGTGGTTAAATCCTCACCTTGACCAGGTGCCGGGATTTTATGAGTGCCAGTTCATGTCCCAGCTGCTACCTTCCCATCCTCCTCCCTGCCTGTGTCCTGGGAAAGTAGCAGAGGACAGCCCAAAGCCTTAGGAACCTGCACCCGCGTGGGAGATCCAGAAGAAGCCCCTGGCCCCTGGCTTTGGATCAGCTCAGCACTGGCCATTACAGCCACTTGGGGAGTGAATCAGCAAACAGAAGATCTTTCTATCTCTCCTTCTCTCTGTAAATCTGCCTCTCCAACAAAAATAAATAAATCTTAAAAAAAAAAAAAGTTTCAGGGACAGACACTGAGCCTAGCAGTTAAAATACCTCTTAGGATTCCTGCATCTCAGGGGGAGACCCCAGAGTGGAGTAGGCAGACAGGAAGAGGCTTGTTTCCCAACCCTGAAGACTCCTAGATCCTCACCAAGGACTATCAGTACGAGCTCCGAGGACTACATCCCAACCGCCAAGGAGACCACAGGGAATTGGAGTGCCTTCGGAGGCCAAGAACTCTGAGGTCACCCACCTCCATTTGGATCTCCCACATGGGATGGAAGAAGCCCAAATCCTGCCTTGCAGGAAACAAGGTCATCGGAACAACAACCAGGAGCACTAAGCGGTCCGCAGAAACAGAACAGTAAACTTCCTTCAGGACTAGCAAGAGGAGCTTTCTCTGGTCCTTGCCTGGTTCCGACTTTGGGTCCCCACCCTCTCTCGTAATGACCATCAAGATCGCTCCAGAAACCCCTCAAAACAAACTAACAAAAAAAACAAATAAACAAACAAAAAAACCTAAAATAGATAGAGAACAGCAAGGAAAGCTTAGAAACAGGAAACGGGCAGTGGGGATGCACTTACAACTCACTGGGTGGGACACAAAGATTAGTTACTCCTCACTAGGGTATTGAAGATTTCTCTGCACCCCTCCTAAAACTGTTCACCTAAACTGTTGACATATGTCTTGTTATAAGTTAGACTACCTGAAAAACAGCCAGGTTCTACAAAATCATGCTTCAACGCTATAAACTGCTAAATACTAAAATTAAAATAGACATGAGACAGCTGAATAGTAATTTATAGCCATTTTAAGGTGTATAGAACCCAGTTGTATATAAACTAATAATTGAAATGTCAATGTAGAAGTCATAGGATGTGGTTCAGAACTTGCATTCTTTTTTTTTTTCTCTCTCTTTTAACATGTTGGTTACTCAATACCATGTCAACTAATTCCATTACGTTATAAATTGTTACTGATGTAATGTCGGGGCTTTTAATTGATTGGGATGATACTCTGTCGGCTCTACCTTCAGACCAGAGATGGTCTCTCCAAGAAACCGTTGAACTTATCTGGACAATAAGATGCTGGACTCTATGCTTTGTAGATACTTGCAATGAAAGAATCTCAACTGAATTTGAACTGTGGTAATGCAACAAGGTGGAGGAATCCACCGGGGGGGGGGCGGGTTTGGGAAGGGGAGAGGGGAATCCCAGTGCCTATAAAACTGTGTCACATAATGCAATGTAATCAATAATAAAAAAAAGACTCAAAAATAAATAAATAAATAAAAAGAAGGGAAAAAAAAGGATTCCTGCATCTCATATCAGAGTACCTGGACTCCTGATCGCTGAGTCAGCTTTCTGCTGATGCACAGCCTAGGGTGTGGCTAGTGGCCGGGTTAGACAGTAGGTCCCTGACACTCACATAGGAGAAACAGACTGAATTCCTGGCTCCTGGCTCCTGGCTTCGCCATGTGGTGCAGGCATTTGGGGAACGGACCAGCAAGTGTTTGCTCTTTGTTTCTGTGTGTACCTCCTTACCTGGTGATTCTTTGCGTTATCGACACCACCACATTCCATCAATAAAAATAACACTTTCTACCACTCTCCCATACACAATCAAACACTGAGTCTCATGCTAGGAATACCACTGACAGGATCACATTTACAGATGTAAGTATTCACTCATCTAGTTTAAGTCCTGTTCTAACAGAAGAGGAAGCACTTTCTTGGGCAACTGATCCAATAATACAGACTCTTTCCATGCCAAGTGTTACAAACATTGTTAACCAGGAATAAAATGTGTGTCATTTCACCTTCTCTTCATTCCCCATTTTAACACAATTTTGTAAATATGAAGTGAAATGGCCAAAGGACAGGTGGTACAATTCTATGTAAGTTAATGAGCCATGCCCATGAATTAACATCTCTGGGCCATGGGTTTTTCAGGCATAAAACAAGAACTTGCATTGCAAAGATAATCTCAATAGGTTAAACCCATTCCTATAATGTTTCTATAAGTAAAATATTGCCAGAATCTCTTTTCAAACTGCTTTCAGAATCCACTTACAAGTCACTCAGGGACATAACAAATATCAAAGGTACTGAGAATGTTTCCAACAACCAAACCCACTGCTGTGCTGGACCACAAATAACCGTTCCCAAGAGTTACAGCTCCAAGCTCCTTCTGACTTGAAGCCCTTCTGTCCACTCAGGTCAAGGCAGATGCACTGTGCTTTCTCCTAAAGGAAATTACTGCATTTCCAACTGAAGATTCAGGGCTTTACCCAAGACATTCAGTAGGACACAATGTCACAGAACACTCATAAAATGAGTGGCACAAACCACTTCAGACCAGTTTCAGTGAACTGCAAATCTCAGTGAGTCCCGGGGGCAGGCAGGTATAGGTGATTTTGTTTTAAACATTTACTTACTTGAAAGGCAGAGTTCCCGGCAGAGGGAAACAGAAAAAGCTCCTCCAAGTGCTGGTTTACTCTGAAATGGCCTGACAACCACAGCAGATCAAGCTGGAGCCAGGAGCTTCTCTCAGCTTACCGCTGCTCTCCTGGACACACCAGCAGGCAGACAGACTACAAGTGAAAGCAGCCAGAACTTGAACACACACTTGCATGACCAGAGCTGACACCTGCATGGGATGCTGGCATCACAGGCAGCAGCTTAACCACTATGTCATGATGCTAGTCCTAGGTTTTCACAACTGTTTGAAAAACACTTGAAGAAAGTTACACAGTTGGCTTTACACAGGACTTTTCAGAGCATGGACACTGTAACTATTTGAGGACTTAGTACAAACATTTTTATGCAAAAAATTCTTATTCCCAGAAGCCCTATTAATACCAAAGTGTTGAAGTGATTAGAAAATGCTGATACTATGCATAAATACTGAGTGCCAAACAGGCAATAATGACTGTGGTCAAGGTCATACCAGTTACCTGAAACACATCTACAGAAGAGGTGAGAACTGAGCCAGACATAAAGGTCTGTAGAACAGTAAAAGATGCAGGATGGGCACAGTGTGGTGGTGGCATCCCATATTAGCACTGGTTCAAATCCCAGCTGCTCCACTTCCACTCCAGCTCCCTGAAAATCAAATGTTCAGGCCCCTGCATGCATGTGGGAGTCTCAGAAGAAGCTCCCGGATCCTGGCTTTACCTGGACCCAGTCCCAGCTACTGCAATCACCTGGAAGTTCTCTCTCTCTCTCTCTCTCTCTCTCTCTCTCTCTGTGAATCCTTTTAACTAAATCAATCTTAACAAAGAGCACATTTTTTTTCTTCAGTATCAACGGGGTATCAGGGGGCCATCCTGCTCTTGGTCCTCACTGCAATTCTGTAAAAACAGCATCACTGTCTACATTTTACAGATAAAAACAGGAGAGCTGCACTGGGAACCTCAATGCAGATCAGGCTTGATGCCCTTTCCTCCGCCTGTGAGAATACATCAGCAACAGCTGAGATGAAGAGACACAGGCCTGGGAGGACCAGCCTCAGGAGATGCTGCACTGCTTGGTATAGGCTACCAAGGAGAGTGGGGCGGGGGGGGGGGGCAACAGCAACCTTTCCGTTCCCACAGCACTAAGCAGAAAGCAAAGCTGGCAACTAGAAATAAGAAAGCAATGTCTCACACGAAATATTAAAAGGTGACAAATTAAGCTGTAATGGTGGCGTAGCAAGCCAATCCTCTACCTGTGGTACTGGAATCCCATATAGTCACTAGTTCATGTTCTGGCTACTCCACTTCCCATTCAACTCCCTTCCTGTGGCCTCAGAAAGCAGTGGAGGATAACTCAAGTCCTTGGGACCCTGCACCCATATAGGAGACCAGGAAGAAGCTCATGACTTCAGATGGGCTCAGTTCCATCCACTACAGCCATGTGGGAGTGAATCCAGCAGATGGAAGATCTTTGTCTTTCCTTCTCTTTCTCTCTCTCTCAATCTGCCTTTCCAATAAAAATAAATAAATCTTTACAAAATAAAAACACAAAAAGCAGACAAACCGGTGAAAGGAATTTTGCTAACCATACCAGCAACTGGTTTAGTAGCATAGTTTTCTAGACAAGTAATGATAGGGTTAGTGCTGGTTAAGAGACAACTAGAGAAACTGCACTGTTAGTCTGAGGGAGAGTGAACACTGGGAACAGCAAAAATGGAAAAAATTCCTGTCTGTTGGAATGAAGCCCAAGCCATATTCCTGCCTAGGGCAGACTCTACATGAACTTGCTGCTTTTGTCAAAATACTTCTTTCATCAACATATTTTTAATTTAAAGTCATGTTCTATACAGCTAATCTCCACTAAACAGACCAACCTTTTCTGGGTACAGCAAACCTTCAAGAGTGTTAGCCCCAGGCACTGGAAGAGAATGACAGATTTTAGTTCCAGCTTTATTTTAGTACTTACAACATGTCTGTCTCACTCAGCATTCATGATCAAGCAGCCTGAGCTTCCTCTACACAGTGGCACAGCAACTATTTTATAAATATTAAATTCATTGCTATCAAAATTACCTTTTTTTAACCAATGAAATCACAAAATTTTTTCATTCCTTTTTAAGAAATTGTATATGCCTTCAGACAGACATGTAATT